GGAAGTGCTCTTGAGACGTTATAAGTTGTCACCCGAGGCTTTCAGGCAAAGGTTCCGCTATGCTAAAAAGGGGAATGAGTCACACGTTGACTTCGCGTTTCGTCTTAAAGCTGATTTAATTGAATGGCTCAAGGGCGAAGGTGTTTATGACGACCACGATAAAGTGGTGGAATGCGTTGCATTGGAGCAATTCTACCGCTGCATCGAGGAGGATGTCAAACTTTGGCTGCAGGACAAAATTGGTGAAGTACAGCTAAACAAGGCAGCAGAGTTAGCTGTCTTATACTCGCCGAAAGTTGCATAGCAGGGCAGTGCGCGTTGAAAAGGATGAAAGAAAAGAGGGCTTTTCAAAGAAACCTGATCAACGGAAACCCGCTCCGCACCGCAATTTCAAGAAGGACCCGTCTCTTACGAAGGACAGTGTAGGGGAAGGGCAAACAGAAGCGGAGAAATCGAGTGAGGTTCCTAAACGACGCACTGATACCCCACGGGCGTTTGAATCACGGAAGCCACTAATCTGCTACAACTGCAAAAAGGAAGGACACATCGCGATAAACTGTCAGGAAAAGTTTGCCTTCGCAACAATCCGAGAATCAGAAAAAAACATGCGGTTGTTGGAGCCATATCTCCAAGAAATTAGGCTGAATGGGAAAACGTGCCGAGCACTTAGAGACTCCGCGGCAACCATGGATGTTGTCCATCCTTCATTGCTGTCTCCGGATGACTTTACAGGAGAATGCGCGTGGATCAGGCAAGTCGCCGAGGAGCAGAGTGTTCGCTTACCAATCACCACCGTTGTCATTGAAGGCCCGTTCGGTAAGCTTCGCAACGAAGCGGCTGTGTCTGCTGCGCTAAACGATCGTTTTCCTTATCTTTTCTCCAACAACTCAGAGCAGCTTCTCAAAGAGCAGGGTAAATCGTTCTTCCCCAACTTAGCGTACATGGCCCTCACGCGATCGCAAGCGTGGAAGCTTTCGCGGAAGCTTGATTTTGTTCAATGCGGTGAACTCTCAAGTGACCTTGTCGGCGGGTCGACAGAACCCCAGAAAGGAAATTTTCCGCGTGAGTCATGTGAGCAGTCACGCGAGCGGCCCGTCGCGGAAGCGACCGGCGCGGTATGCGTAGGGGGAGACGACATGGCGCCATTGAATCAGAGCGAGAGGGCTGCAACGCTCTCGCCTGTAGCGGAAAGTTGGAGCGAGCTGTCGAGGGATGATCGAGAGACGCCCATTCAAGAGCAGCGCGAGGACCTCTCGATTAAAGCGCCAGTGGAAAGCCACGTGAAAGCTTCACAAATGTTGTCGAAGGAGTACTACGACAAATCGGCGAAGAAGCGTGCTTTTGAAGTAGGCAGTCAGGTAATGCTGCTGCAGCCGTTCAAAAAGAACAAGCTTGAGGTTGATTGGGAAGGGCCTGCCAATATAATATCGCAGCTTCGCGATACGAATTATGAGGTGAAATTAGGAAGGCGGCAGAACAAAATTTACAACTTGATGAAACCCAATGTTCAACATCAAGCGGTCGTAAATCAGCTGTTGAATGCTTCAGAGGAAGAGGGAGCAGAAATTTGGAGTTCTAGTGATGTAATCGAAAGGGAATCGGAGGTAATCTTGGAGCAGGTGATCCTAGAGCCTAGGTTAAGTGAAGTCCAAAAGGAGGACTCGAGAAAGATTGTTTCCGAGATTGGAGACGTGTGTTCGGACCGTCCCGGAAACACGACAGTGATCGAACACGATGTCAAGCTAACTTGTGAGGAGTCAATCCGTAGCGAGCCGTATCGTTGTTTCCCTGTGCAACGTCGCAAGTGTGAGCCGCTCTTGGTGCCGCATAGGTATCGTCGCCTAAAAGTGGCCGGTTACTGAGATGGAGCATGTTGCTTCACAGCGCAACTTTGACGTTCGCTACAAAAAAAAAAAAAGGGGGAAAGCTTAACGCTAATGCAGGTGCATTGAGCAGTGCGTTCTAGCTAGTACCCTCTCAGCCTTTCGGTTTCTTGCTGGCTATTCGGGGCAAAATTTTGACTTCATCACGACCTTAGCTGAGCGCTCTCATCCAGAGTGAGCTCAAGGAGCCAACTTTATGTTGTATTCTAATTCGTTACGTTGTTGTACGTGAAAAAAATTTGAGTTGTCATTTTAAGGGTCTTTTGTCCCACATGTGCCTCTTGATGTAGAGGGAACAAAATTCCGATAGACACTTAGCTAGGTATATGTTGTACTATACTTTGTCTGGTGTTCTGTCGGGTGACCGAGGGCACTTGCTTGTGTCGTGTGTTGTCTGTTGTCGATCCGTTCTTGACAAGTTGCAGAACCATCGACAAGTGCTGAAACCAAGGATCGTCAGAGACGAGCGAAGCTGGTCGGCAAGTTGTGGCGACAAGCCAGTGGAGCTGGGATCCGTCGTCAAGAATGGGATGTGTTCCCGGAACAGTCTGAAGCTGTATTCTCCCCATGGCCCTGGAGGCGAACCTGGAGGGACCTGGCGAACGAGCGCGCCTGTCATCCGAGCCCCGTGGAAGCAGCTCGTCGTTTCGGCGCATTGTCTGGCGGCGGGGGTGCTGTTATGCCTGCGAGCCCACAGCGAACGGCCGTGCCTCTGAAAAAGGCAATCTGTGTCAAGGCCAGCCCGCAAGTCCGCCTGACGCGAACAACTCAACGGCGTCAACAGGCGACGGCGCCTCTCTGGTGTGCACGTGCAGTGAGTCAGCCTCGGCAAGCGACCCGTCGAGTAAACAACTGGCGCCTTCCTGTCTGGCGGGTCTGACGCAATGCCTTGCGACGTCACTCGTCCTTGGGTGCAGCCACCTGCAGCGCAGCCTCTCCAGATTTGAGGAGAAAGAAGGACGCGGCCCAGCGGCGACCTCATTGGAGGATTCTGACCTCGCGACCAGCGGCGCTTCGGGTTGGACGTTTGGGTTGGACCCGGGGCATATAAAAGAAGCCCTGCGGCGCGTCGAGAGACCCCTTTGACAGGGACTCGTTTGAGAGCACACCTTTGTGTTAGAGAGGAGAGCTCGGCTCTTCGAGTCTCTGTCGGCCCCAGTGCCGAATTTGTAACGCCTCTGTATATATGCTGTACATAAACCTTGTTTAACTCACCGTCGTCTCGTCTGCTCGTCTATCAGCTCTGCGCAGAAGCAGTCGCGAGCTGAGAAACCTACGCTACCAAACGGCTGGTGACCTTCCCTGCGGAGTTCGAAGCAGTGGCGCCTTCGGGACAGTGTTGGCGTCGCCGTCTTTCGAAACAGGGATCGAAGCGGTGAGATTTCGAGGCGCCCTTCGTAACGTCGTCGGAGGTGCGTTTCGCAACAGTGCTCAATAATTTTTTTTTGCCTGTCTGTATGCATATTTGCAGATGCTTGCTCTGAACAACAAACCCAGTTGGTAGTCAGCAATCATGTGCGCTCCTCTCTGGCTTCCCTTTCTCACAGTGCCACCTTTCCTTCAGCAGCTACATGCTTGCAGTAACATGCTTGAGCATGGACAGAAAATGCTACCAGTTGGTAGTCGAGGCTTCCGAGAACATGCGAGCCAAACATAAGAGCACAGCGTGTGATTCAGAATTTATATTAATTTGTCGAATCAGCTCGAAATAATTTCCTCTCCTTTCTACAAATGATGTCGTGTACCCAAATGACGGCGCCGTAGGCCGATTTGAGCCCTGTGGGCGGTACAGTCACAGCAGCCGCCTCTAGAGGCCTCCACGTGCCTGTGCTCGCAATCACACTGAAAGTATACAACTTGTTTGAAAAAAAAAAAAAAATGACAAGTGCTCTGGGTCATGCCGATTGTGCGACACAATCCCCTCCTGCTTAGCTACCAGTGCACCTGTCAGGATTAGAAAAAGCAATTACAGGGTGCAACAATTCCTTTTGTACAATACGAATTTTGAAAATTTCTGCGGAAGTCGATTCGTGAGGAAATAAACTCCTTCAGCAGGTCCACGCAATGGTTACTTGGAAAATTGTTGCGAGGCCCCTTTAAGAATAAAGTGTTTTATGAGCATCTGCTGAGCTTCCCATTTTCTCAGAGCCGCCACTGTATTCAGGAGGTTTGCATGACAGAGTTAACCCGGCTACGAGAATTGGTGTAGGTAGCCCTTCAACACTTAACAAAAAGCTGCAAGCTTGCTAGCACTTGTGATGTACAGTAACGTCCACTCTCAGGGTGAACACAGCTCAGCGTGGCTGCCCTCCGCACAGCACCAGTGTAGCCGGTGCGGCGCGCATCAAAGCCGGGCGGCACATGCGTGCCCAGACACACGGGCGAGGCTTTACGTCGCCTGCTACATCATTCAAGCGGGCCGTTTCGTGATAGCCAGGCACACGTCTTGCTTGCCTGTGGTACGACCAAAACGGTGCACCCGCGTGTGCCTGCGCCCATAGAGTTTCCCAAAATTAATTAGAGCGCACTCTGGCGCTGCGATCATTCAGCGACCATGGGAATGATGGGTAGTACACACATTTGCCTAGTCTTCGTACTTGCGGGTGGCGAATCGTACTTGCGGCTTTGTTTATTGCTTGTTACGGTTTTGTTTTGAAGGAAAGAATGTTCCCTTTTGAACTTTGTGACTTAATTCGAAATGGTAAGCCTAAAAAAATGAGGTTGTGAAGCGCAAACGGTAAACATTTGCTAATTTATGTTTTCGTAAAGAAACAGCTTTAAGCCACACGAAGACACACGGAACCAGAAGCAGGCCAGAAGTACGAAAATTTTACAAAGGTTTTTACTACCCATCATTCCCATGCTCGCTGAAGTGCCGTGTGTTGCAGCTCCCATAGACACTAGCGCCAGAGTTCCCTCTAGTGTACATTAAGAAACTCTATGCCTGCGCCGTTTCGATGCGATGCTCGGACACGTCGGCTGCGCGGGCATGCCATGGTGAGACTTGTTCACACTAACAGTGGACGGCACTGTACACTCCGATTTCACACAATGCGGAACCCAAATAACGTGGCTCGACTTCATAAACTGAACAACTTTGGACAGGCCTGTACTCACTATAACGCAGTTCTTTCCAATGTAGACGTAAGAGCCGACATGACCCGCATTGACGACAGTGTCTTCGCCGATGAAGACGTGGTCGCCAATATGAAGTGGAAAGAAGGCCACGCTGTAACGAAAATGGGGGATAAACAATTAATGTCAATGTTGCCAATGTAAAGACTAAACACATATAAGTTTATTTGTAAGATAGACAGTACTACGAGACAGAATTATGATAAGCTCCGTCTTACTCTGATTTTTTTTGTTATATCTACGTGTAGAGGAAACTCGCTCCGCAAGAAACAGGGATGCAAAAATTGTATTTCAGAAACACTGTGCCTGTATGAGGTATGCTGTAGACAGGAGCGCTTTATAATGTTGACACCTTGGGCACCTTTACCGCAGGCCAAAGCACAAGTAAACTACTGTAAAGGCTCCTTCATTCAGATTCAACGGGGACCACAACATTATTCTAATTAAGCGGCATTCAAATTAGTGGGCAGGAGCTGGAAGGAACAGACATTGTGTGACACTGCACGGAGAGAACCCAGAGAAGCCACCTTTGAACTCGCCCACTCAAATAAAGCGATACTATACATTTTTAGCTGGTAATTTCGTAAATTAGGCTGATGCTCTCACAGCGAACAGAATTTATTGATCAGTCAGTGATGCGCCAGAAACAAACAGCAACTTGCATTCACGGGAGCAATGAGCCTGAATGCCAAAATATATGAAGCTATTTGTGCTCCAGAACAAGTTCAATCACCTGGCAAGATTCAAGCGAATAATGCTTAAGGTCTTTCTTTTTTAGTTTATTTGGAACAAAATTGATATTGTCCAAAGAAACATGGCTAAAGGCAAACAATGCCTTACTGGGCCACGCAGTAGCAGCACACAGACGACATTTATGTAAAATTATAAAAGCATACATGGAAATCAATCACATTTGTTTTACACAGACAAAAGTAATGAGTAATTTGGGTGATCGTTCTGGACTGATTTCTGCAAGGAGGAACAAAAGTCAGCGGGCTTCCGATTCTAATCAATCATCGTATATACCGACACATTCAAATTATCAGAAGTTTTCTGCGATAGAAATACGTAGGGCGGCGCCGAGACTAGGGTGTCGGTTCGAATTGACAGCAAATTTGAATTAGCGAGCTTTTACTGCAGATTCAAATGCAACATCGAATTTTTTTAATGTGACGTATAGATGTATGCACAAGTGTAATAGATGCACATCTGCTCGAGATAATCATGTCATGACACGAGGGCCCTGGTTTCTAAAGATAGTGTTGGTTCCGATCTGCTCAGTTGAGTCTGAATTACCCGAATATGACGCTTACTGAAGACTGCTACAACGTAAGCATGAGTATTACCTTAGCCATAAAATGCCCTACTTCAATTCACGGGCATTGCACATGCACTGCGTTTTGTCATGAGTATTACCTTAGCCATAAAATGCCCTATTTTAATTCACGGGCACTGCACATGCACTACGTTTTGTCCTGAATGATGTGCAGCCATCACAGCTGCAAATCGAACCCACAACCTTAGCAGTGAAATAAAGTGGCTAGTAATCTACAGTAAGAATAAATGTACAGCACTCACTAATTGAAAAGCAACACCAAGTTTTCTAGTAAACTCGGACCTCATTATAACAAAGTTGCATCTTACACAAAAACATATTTGTTATATCTGAAAATTCGTTGTAAAGGTTTATTCCCAATGCTATATCTATTGCAAGACTATTTTTAATTTACTTCATTATAACCAATACATTGTTATATCCAGGTTCTTTATACCAAGGTTTGATTGTATTTCTGGTAGTATGCGTAATCACTCGAGATAACCGCATGATGCCGCAACACGTCTGGCCAATAAGACGATGTCTCCGAGCTGAGCATTCAGGAGTCAAAATTAAGCCACTACGACCCGAGCTGACAGTGCAAACAATAGTGTGTGCATTATTGATTACCTAATTGTCTTGTTACGATTTGTGACTACTGTACAGTCGTCAATTTTACGAATGGGAACAAGCAGGTGCACGGCAATTGGCTTCACATTGCACATCTGGTCCGACGCAGTGGCAGCATGCAAGAATAAGAGGACAGAGCGCGATGCCTTTCCCTACATTGCCTGCACACCTTCTTGCATCTTTCCTTCCGTGTTTGTCACTTGATACTGATGGGCATACAAAGCTGTGATAGCAACAATTCTTACCAAAAGCAATCAGTTTGCTACAATGTCCCAATAGCAGACATAAATCAAGATTGATTGATTTGGATATGTAGAGTTTAACGTCCCAAAACCAGCATATGATTATGAGAGACGCTGTAGTGGAGGGCTCCAGAAATTTCAACCACCTGGGGTTCTTTAACGTGCACCGAAATGAGAGCACACGGGTCTACAGCATTTTCGCCTCCATCGAAAATGCAGCCGGGATTCAAGGCAGCCACGTACCTTAGCCACTAGACCAACACGGCGGGGCGACACAGATCAAGAAGCATAAAATAAAGACTAATTCCCTACGATAGTGTAGACAGCAGCAGAGTTTATACCATTCGTTTCTCTTATTTTCAGGTTTCGCCACTGTGTTGCCCCGCATACGCGGTCGGAGCCTATCTGCCAAAAGTTCGCTTGTTCCCTAGCATAAAAATGACATCTGTACTACAGACAGGTCAGTCCTACTCATTATTAGTAATACAAGGAGATGGCAGTGTATTATAGCAAGCATTCAACAGTTTGATCTATTACAAAAGTATGTTGACGTGAATATCCCAGGCTTGTTTGCAACATAACATCGAAGAATGGTGCTGTGAGGTTTAGCCAAGACTTTCGATTATTCCTTATCCAAGACTTAGCAGTTTTAGGACAACCAAATCCGCCTCTAGCTGTTTCCTCCAAGTGATCTTTTTCGTTCGTAAGAACAGTCAAATCTCTTCAATTATTATTGAAGGGGGTACACCACTTAACCGCAGAGAACAAATTGAATTAAATTAAGAAACAACAATGCCCTTATGAGGTACGCCACAGTAGGGGTTCTTCATTAGTGCTGATCACCTCAGGTTTCTTTGTCGCCCACCAAAATGAAAGTACACAAGTGCTCATGCATTCAGCATGGATCGATATGAAGCTGTTGCGGGTGGTAATCGAACCCACAACCTTGGGAGAAAAACGGCCTGAGGCGGCCTTAGACAAAAGTTCGACTGGACATACGTCTTTCAACGGGCGTTCAACGACAACCCTGCACATTCAAGTGTGTTACTTCAGGCTACCTAGCCACGCGAACGACTTATCCGCAAAGACGACGCAACGGATTCGTGTGACGTACCCTTTGCTGAACTTCTTGAAGGGAGGCCTGATGACTGAACGGCTACTTATGACGCAGTGGCGACCAATCCGGACATTCGCGAGGTCCCCGCGTATGATGGACTCGGATTGAATTATTGTCTGCAAGCAAGAAGACAAAGCCAAGTCATCGTGTCGACGGAGCATTCAACCAGAGGCTGCCATTCAACTTATAATAACCAACGTAAACAAGCACCTTTCCGTTGAGAACAATGTTGTGGCTACCGCAGAGAACAGAGTTCCTGCTCACTTTGTTCCCGGAAGCCTGGAATACGAACAAATGCACAAAGTAATATTTTTCCTCCCAGGCAGCACAAAACCAAAACTTCATCCATGCCACACGAAAGCATTCGGAGGAGCGTCTCACAGTTTCTATGTAGTCTTGCTTGTTGTACCACACATCGACGACGTCCATTGCAATCGCCGAGTCTTGGATGATTCGTCTTCCGAGCGAAACAACTAGTGGTACGAAGGAGTCAGCGAGAATTAATCCCTCCTAAGGTGAAACTAACCGCCGCCCACCTGTGAAAACAAACTAGGCGGCCATTTTACGATTCATTGGGAGCAAAGGAGCCGAAGCCGCAGCCACAAGGGAGTCGGGAGGTTAGTGTTGTCATTTCTCTACATGTTTACTACTTCCTGCTAAATAAGTTAAATATGCAAAGTGATGCACAGAAATCTTTCTTAAACGTACAGAGAATTTATTAAGCCGTAAAAGCATTGAAACCCTGCGCACCTGCATATATTCACCATAGAGAAAACCATTCAATGATCAACATTGCCACATGACCTCATTTTCATGGCAGTATTTAGCCCGGTGGTTATGCGTCAGCTAAAGCTACGAAAATAAACCAGGTCAAAATGAACACTACCGTTCGAATAAGTTATGTTAGTTAATTGGTTCCCAAACGGTAGCGCCGATGCGTCCTTTCGTTGACAGCGCCAATTTAGGCTTAAATTGCGTTTACCGGAGTTGTACTACGTTCCGGTGCGTTAACCTCACGCGCGTGCACAGGAAACATACTGCGCTCGCGATATGGAGCGTTGACTAGCTTAAACGCTTATTGCGAGTTAAACGCGCTTAATGTGTGTGATGCACGACACCCTAAAACGAATTTTGAAGAAACTCTCAACGGCCGCGGCCCAAAGCAGCTGCTTCGGGCGTTTGTTTACAAACACGGCACACTCCCCAGCCGTCGTGTTTTGGAACTGAAAGACGGAAGCGGAAATAGTTCTACAATGACGAGCCAATGGTGAAGCTGCCAGTGATCAAACCCCACCAATGGGAGCCTGCTTAGGTGCTCTGACGTCACGTCAAGGATTCTCCCCTCCCTCGTTGAGCGAGGCGAAAACGGCTCAGGAGGTGCCTGGTCGGTCGGGGTTGGTGTCGGGGGATTCCGCAGTTATGGATTCCCTTCGCGAGCAGGTCATGATCAATCAGTTCGCGCAAGCAGCCGGCTGCGCGAGGGACCAGGCCAAACAACTACTTCAAGCTGCCCACTGGCAGTTCGAGGTAAGTCGAGGTTCGAAAGAATCAATCGACGCAACCCCCCCTCACTTTATCGCCCCTAGCACTTCCATATCAACATGGCCACGGGGAAGCTTCCTTCATAACCGAGTCCTACCCCTTTGATTTCGCAGACGGCGCTCAGCGTTTTCTTCCAAGACGCGGCCGTGCCAGGCTGCCACCCGGCGGGACACTTTAGCTCGGTAAGCTACGTGGAATGTTTGTCTTTGGGAACTTTTTCGATGACGCAACCGTGTTTTAGCAAACCACGAGTTCCTTTCCGTGGTCGCAACCGTCGACCGTGTTACTCGCCTCCTCTCGTTTTTCTTCTCTCCCTCGCCTTCTACTATCGACGTACCAGCCTAGCGTCCTGAATGTATGGCTCGCTTTATTATTTTTTTCTCTCATCGTCTAGGCACCACAGACCCCTTAATTCATTCGCTTGCCAGCTGCGGTTATAAAGATCGCAGAACTCTCCGAACCATTCCCGGCATTTAGACTGAGGTTCACTTGGCCGCTCTGGTTCCGTTATCAGTGACGCGTTCCGGAAACGAAAAAAAAAAACATATACATATATAGATACTGCTGTTTGCGACTCTGTCTGTCATTCGCCAGCGTCTCGGCGCTGATAATCCGCGACGCTGCGCTAGCGCTTTCCTTGTCTAAGCGCCGTTTAGTACGTCCGCGATTTGTTTGAGATACATTCTGCTTTCTCGCAATCCAGCTCGAATGTCATGACCGGCCGTGGTTAAGCGCATTAACACTGATCCAACGCGATAGCGCTTATTCGTAAGGAAGAAAAAAAAAGTGTGGAAACATACGGGCGTTAGAAACAAGCCGTCTCGTGTCGAAGTACCGTCGATTTCCTGCTGTTGCTGGCGTTGTTTTAGTGTATTTATATTTTCCTGCGGTTTTGCAATCGTACAGTTGGCCAACAACAAGCCGGCCGGCGCTTTTCGCGTGTTTCGATGATTCTTGCATGTGTATGGTAAACAGAGTTGCGCGGTTTTGGTCGACGCTCGTGCCGATACTATTGGGCAAAAAGGAAAAAAAAAAAAAAGCTAACGCGCTGGCGGCAACGGTACTCACTCTGACCGTTGCGACAACTTTCCGTCGCTCTTTTGTTCTTTTGTATCTTTTAGATGGCGGACGCGGCGCGCCTGTTACCAACGTGTGTGCTTTTCTATCTCTCTTTTGCTTTCTCGTTCATTGACGAAGCTGGCGGCGTCTTTCACGCCCAGACAGCGTGCCTTCATGACCTTGCGCAGTTCCGAGCAGCCGGAGAGAGTGTCGCGGGTGAAAGCTTGTGTTACGAAACATATTCACCAGGCGCGACGCTATCTACCTCGCTGGGACTGCTTGTTTGCCTAGCAGGTACATCGCGTTGGTGTTTTCTCTCAAAGAAATAACGGTAGTGACCACGCATCTACATGGTGTTGCAGATTGTACTTGTCAGGCTATCTAAGCTACCATAGTCTATCGCCTAGCTTGAGTCGTACGTTACATGACAGCTGGAAACAGGGCTGTAACGTCGAAGCAATGCAGCTGTTTTTGTTTCTGGTGTGCTTCCAATGTTTGCCTCCCTATCATATAGCGACTCATAACAAGGTTGTTCCCTGCCTCGTCACGACAGGAAAGGACAGTGCGCCGTTGTTTGTTGGACATCTGTCTGTTGAATGTGGTTTGCGCCTCTTATCAGCGTAGATCCGGTTAGTTGCCTGTCAGAGCTGTCTTTTTTGCGCTTATTTTCACAGCGACGGCTTGCTAGCGGTTTCACTAGTACCTAACGGTAATAAAGAAAGGTTGCTGTCTGTCCCTTTTTTTCGTGCCAGTTTGCTGTTATGTGGCACTTGACGGGAGGATGTTACACTTGTCGGTTTTCACAGCTGCGTTTCAGTGCCAGTACGTTGTGTTTTGTCAGTGTTATTGGCAAACAAATGTGAGGCTCAAATGAACCAGTCAGGGCTTTAGGTTGCCTGACAATGTATGCATATGCCAAATTTAAGAGTTAGTCCTGTTTAGCCATCAGCTCGCTTTTCCAGGGCTGTACCCAAAAATTGTATTGAAGGGGAGTGTTCATGTGTGAAACAACGTAGTTTCCTAAAATGACTTATGGATAAATCAACTACCATGGGAATGACGGGTAGTACGCAAAATTGCCTCGTCTTCGTGCTTGCGGCTGCGAGCACACTTGTGACTTTGTTCATTGCTTTGTTTTGGTATTGTTTCGAATAAAAAAAAAACAGGCTATTGAGAACTTATCACCAGAATCGAATTGGTGAGCCCGAAAGGTTCAGGCGGTGTAAAGCAACTGATGACAATTTGCCAATTGTCGTCTCGTGACAAAGCGGCTCCAGACCACACAAAACAGAAAGATTAGATAAAATTGTGTACTGCCCAACAATCCCACGCCGATACTGAAGCGCCATGCATAGCAGCTCGCATAGACACTAGCGCCAAGCAAGACTGCACTTGACTGAACACTTCCAGCGCTCGAGCGATGTCGCCTAATTTCTCATCTCTGCCTGCCTTATGGCTTCTTTTATCACTTACACACAAGGCATACACTACTCATTCCACCTGTAAGATCATCTTCGAGATTAACTCGCTCGTGTTCTATTACACAGGTAGTCGTACTGCACCTGCCATAGTAATTTATAGTACTCGGATTTAGCTTCAGGATCAGATTCAAGAACCTTAAGCAGCCAAAATAATCTGTTACACTATACTATTCAATGAAAATGTGGTTTTAGCGTCTAAACCGATTCTGATTAAGTGCTCAGCTTAAATACTGCCTTAGTATCATCTCTAAAATCGGAAATGAGAGGTATTATAACCAGCCTCAGGAAGATAGTAGAAGTAAAGAAGATGGCAGGGGCATATCCTATAATAATAATATATGGGGTTTGCATCCGAACACCACGATTTAATTATGAGCGACTCTATAGTGGAGGGCTCTGGAAATTTCAACCATCTGGTGTTTCTTTATCGTGCACCGAGATCGCACAGTACACAGGCCTCTATCATTTCACCTCCATTGAAATGCGACCGCCTCATCCGACAGGGCACTTCCAACCATCCGGTCAGCAGCTGAGCACCTTAGCTTCTAATCCTCCAAGGCGAATGGCAGGATATCCTACTAGTTGAGACAATACTGGATATTGCTGACACTTACCATAAAAAAGAACACCATCGTCTCTCGTTAACTATCATGCTTCCAGTGGTGTCGGTTTGTTTTCCTGTTCATGCATACAACTTCACAATATTTGTTGTTGTAGCATGCCTTAAGTTTGTGTATGTGTCCGTATTGCTGCCTTGTATATTTTTTCGTATTTACTTTTATCCTTAGTTTTATATTTCATAAGCTCTACTGCACTCTCCCTACTGAATGTTAGCTTCGTAGATTTGTCAGGCAGCTTTTACTTACAACCCCTCGATCTGTCTCGTAAGATTCGAAAGCAATATCGACTTTTAAAACCTGATAAATTGGAGGGTGGGCATAAAATGTATTGGGAACAATTTTTTTTCCTGTTGTGACAAATGTCACAGCACACTCGTACTGCTCATGCACTGTGGTGAAGGGTGTGGTCTTCAAGAAGCATCATTCGTATGTGAGCATTTATTTGAGCTTGATTGTGTATTCAGTGGACCTTTGTCAATTGACTCAATACCTGTACAAAATGCAGCAATTTGGTGATACTATGTCTCCTTGTGCATTGGCCTGACAGTACCTAAAGATAAAAGCATTGCGGTCATCCCCCAACCTTCTACAGACCCACCATGGCACTGGCAGACTGTTTCCTACCCTTAAATGTTAAATCCTCTCACAGAGTGCACCACTATAGACCTTTTTAATAAAGCGGAGGATCCCCTCCTTTTTGGGCTGTTGCACAGGAGTACAAAAGCAGACGCCACAGCTTCAGCCCTGCATTTATGGGGGTCATGCATGATAACAACAGCCCAGAGGGGCTTGTGGTGGTGTTCTCAAGGTGTATGGGACCGTAGGTGTTGTCATAGAAACTTCTACCTGTGCCCTTAAGAACCTTCCAAAGTTTGTCTACTGGGAAACCTTTGAGTCAGGGAAAAGCCGTTGGCAAAAGTGCATCAACAGTCAAAGGGTCTTTTTTGAGGCATATTAGCAATATTCTTTATGGATATTCTCGCTACCTTTTTTATGAACTCTGTGCTTTACCACTTCTGCAGATGTGCACGCCCGCCAACACGCCGGCAACGCCGCCCAACTTTCCAGAGACGTTGCTGTCGCTGTCCAAGCTCTCGGCCGCCACCCCTCCAACAGCGCCCAGCCCCGTGCAGGGCTCCGCACTGCAGGGCGGTTACCAGGGCTGCATGGGAGCGCCAAGCCAGTACGCTCCACAGCGGAGTGGGGGTGGTGGCATGCCTTCTCACTCTTCCCAGGGCCGCTGTTTCCCGGCGAGCACGTCACCTTCCTCGTCCTCCATGGAAGCTCAACGATAGATCGTCCTTCGACGTGGAGAAAACAGCCTGTCCCCTCAATGACACGGAAGAGAATGGGCTTGCGCCACACCGATGGGGCACGTGCTCTGCGCAGCTTCGTCGCAGTCCACGAGTGCGACAGAGCGCATGTCCGGACATTCGATCGGCGATGCTGCATGCGCGGAACAGGGTGGGGTTGTGAATTGAGGGGATCGGCATTGAGGTGCGGACATTTCGGAATGGTAATTGCTGAGAGTTGAAATGGCGTGCTTTTGGTTTGGAAGGAGGTCTCTGCGTGCGTATGTGTGGAAATCGTGTTTGGGACAGGGCCCTCCCAAGGGTTGGCCGTGTTGTACTGGTTACCTTTTCTTTAACACCATTCAGTCTCCAATGAGCTCAATTAGGGTTTCACTTCACATGGCATTGCAGCTGAGGACTGAGGGAGAACCATGTGGCCAAGTGAAGTCGTGGCACAGCAGTTTTTCAAAACTCTCGTCGCCTATCAACAAGACGAAAAATGTGCCGAGTATGGTGTTGGCAATCAGCTGAATAAAGGACGAAGAATTGTCGTTTGCTGGTCACTGACAAGATTTAGAATTGCTGTGCTAAAGATTGCTTTAGGTACAACATTCGAGTTGTAGTTAAATTCATTGCCTATTTTTAACAGGATGAATTGGAATGTCTAAGTACACACCATAATTTTGAGAGATGGTTGACTATCCAAGTTTGGTGTTCTGACAATGGTGGTTCGTAATAGCGGATTTGTAGTTTACTGTAATGTGGGCTGCAGAGAATTGTTTTGCCTCTCGTAACTGGTAATATTCTAAATGGATTTCACGTAAACTTTCCATCAAGTGTTGACGAGACCAGAAAAATCTGTGCTTTCAAAAGCCTTTCGGAAGCACCATTTGTTTAACTGCACCGTACTATGGGTTCAAACCATGACAGTACCATCGTCAGCTGAGGCGCTTTCTACTTACGTTCATTTCGGTTGCCTGTTAGTAAAAGCATGCAGCCTTCTGCAAATGTGCACCTAGTGCATTGTCATGCTCACATCGGTGCGTCATTGAAAGCGCAGACTTTTCTCTTGTCTTCTAGAATCGATAGTTGTTGAGATCCGACACCGAGAAAGTAATTCAAGTACTCTTGGTTATAGTTAGTGTGGGTAATGTGGCAGCTACAGCCAGAGCTTGAAAGCAAGGTGCTTCTCATAGGATGTTTTTCACTGCTCACACTAGACTGCCTTGGGCAATGCTTTCAGACAGCATTAGTATCGCCAACATATTGAGCACTGACGGGCAGTTCGAGCTGTCAAATCAAAAGGATATGCCGTGCCGTACGTCTTGCATTTTGCTGGTGGCCTACAGATGCCACCATCTGCAGTAGTAAAAACTTTAACCCACTGCGGCCATATGAACCACTCCAGTCGCTCAGTGTCCCATGCTGTTCACATTACTCGGAGACTTTTAAGGAAGGAAGGCCAGGCGGGAAGCACCATGTGTTGGATGTGGAGGCTAGCGCCATCGAGAGCGCTTGTGAGTGTGTTTGTGTCGGAAGAAAAGTGGCGTGTAACCAGGGTGCATGTGCTTGTTGGAAGGTTCGGTAGAAGGCCAGACTCCCATCTCACCCCACCCCTTGTCCCCATTCTCATCCCCTATACCTTTTTTAAAGCAAACTGAAAATTTCAGTTCGTCATTTTCTAGGATTGTGCAGAAGGGTGATGTCATTGAGTGCCCTTAGAAAAGGAATAAGAGAGTGGCACCACAATGCCTGGCCTTTTATTTCGTTTCCGTTTATTGGCGGATGTGTGATTGGTCGGGTACACGTCTCTGCAATGAAAAAACGGCGACATAAAAATGTTGTGCATTCTTTTTTTTTTAGTTTTGCCCTCGTGTGTGCATCCAGTTTTTCAAGTGACAAGACAAGTGTACTGTCACTTCCCTTTCGGGGATGCAATCGCTTTTACGGGCTTTGCACCGGACGTCCTTGCTATGGTGTGTGACAACGTGTGTAGACTATGCTGTAACGTTGATATTACACCAAAAATGTCACATCTAGGTGCTGACCGTGCAAGAGTGGTTGCATCCCTCAAAGTGAACCTGTTCTCAACTTTCTTTTTTCATGCGAATTCAGAATCTGTTTGCAACATTATAAAAAAGCTAGAGGTGCTGTTGTGCCTGAGCGATTTCGTTTGTTTGTTTTACCTGGATAGGATTGCTGTGCGTTTATTTGTAAGCCCCCTTTTTGTGAAGGAATTGTCGACGTGGAGTGCGTGCGTGGCTTGCTATTTCGTCTGTAGTGCGTTGGCCCCTGAACGTTCTAGTGTGCGACAGTTGGGACGTTTGCTTTTTGTAGCCTACTTGCCAAAGCGTGGCTGGACTTGTGATAGAAAGTTGGCTCGTAAACTTGAAGCTGCTTGTTGCCGAGCTATTGAGCAAAGCCTCCCAGTCATGCCACCTCGCTGTGAAATGTGACATGTCTTGTTTGCCTATGTTTAAGTAAGTTGCCAGGGGCTAGTTCGACTGGAAAGCTACTTTATTATTGGCTTCTCTGTCTCCATCCCGTGAATCGAATTTTTAAGGCTCACGTTTATTCACTATTGTTGGCCCGATCATTTACTGGAATGTCTGTGCACACTTTGAACAGCTGACAGTCACCTTTATTTATCATTTCTTTTTCAAGCTATTTAGATTCTCGCATTGGGCAGTGGCAAACGCCCACGTCTGCACGTCGACCATGTTTCTTGCAAGTGACTGTGTTTCGTTGGACTGGAACGACTTATGAAACGGTGGCTCGATAAAATTCTTATGCTCCTCAACGTGTTTGTCTCCGCCATCAATGTAGCTTTTGGGGGGTTTTGCCGTATTGTCGTAATCATGGAGCTTACTAGTTTCAAATGACGAGAGTACAGCTCTTTATCTTTTTTTTTTTCCCCAACCTAAGGCATGTTGCAGAGTGGCAAGCAGCTTTCTGCGGGTTTTTCTTTTCCTCTCGATTGGATGGCGCTCGAAGAGTGTTAGGGGTCGCTCACCGCTCGCCAACAGAGTTGCTCACTCGTTGGTCTATTTTAGTTTGATATGTCTATTTTTCTCGCCTAGTCCTTACGATTTCTCGCAGAAGTTCGTGCGCCACTCCTGAACCCAGTGGTGTTGTCTATTCTCTGTGCTAGTGGTAGCTTGTTGTGCTGGATGAGCTTCATTAGAGAATCCCAGTGGCTCATTGCATATTCTATGTTACTCAGCAGCTTGTTCTGTATTGAAGGTTACCCACTGCTCTTGGTATGTTCAGCAAGTTGTTGCATATCCAAGGTACCCACAGCTTTTGGTATATGCAACAGGTTTTGCATATCCAAGGGTACCCACAGCTCTTGGTACATGCAACAGCTTGTTGCGTTACAACCATAGCAAACCAGAGCCTTTTTTTGGTTAACCTTCCTGTCTTTCCTTTATCTTTCTGTCTCTCGTTGTGTATCCAAGGTTACTCAACAGGTCCTGATATACTGAACAGCCTTTTGCACATTCGATTACCCGACAGCTCTTAGGGTGATCATCTTATGGCCACATGGGTGCATTTCAGCTGCTTAATGCATTGCCAAAGTTTTGCCATCTGGAATTGGGGATTTTTGCTCTTTTTAACAAAAAGGCAGCGATGCCCGCACTTTAAATATACCCCCTATTGAGATAAAAACTCTGAAATGCTGTTATCGAACATGAAAGGTTTCGGTTTTCTCATTATAGTGCATCGAAGTAATCGTAAGACACCCTATTAGTTGGAGGTCTGCCTTCGTGCATTGCAGTTTTGAAAATGGAATTGAGTGTGGCCAGATTTTCAATGGCTTGTCCTTTGGCTGAGAATTCCTGAATTCGAATTCCTCAGCATCTGTGTAATGGCAAATGATTGCGCTCAAGTTTGCACAAACTGTGAGGTCCCTAAAAGATTACTGCATGAGTAACTTCAGGACTGAAGACTTCTTTTTAGAGCTTGTGAAGAGGGAGACCTGCATAGCGCGACTTGTGAACTTTGGTCAAAATGGTGCCGTGACTGCACTGATTGGCCAGTGGCTAGATTGACCCGACTCCCCCCGGTCGAAATGCGGGATTCTGGTCTCGCCCTGTTACTTTCCAATGTCTTCAGTATTCTCGTGTGCTTATGTGCCTTCGAGCTATTGACAACCATGACGCGCAGCTCTTCAAAGAAACTCGTTGTGTTGCTCGCAAATCGTCTCTTCAGCTGGGTTTGTTGCGAGGTTTTCATAACCTTTCCAGGGCAAGTCCGGGGCGTAAGAAAGTGCTGTTCATACTTAGATGTTTTTTGGAGTAACTGTGGACTTACTTGCATGAATGGGTGTTGAAAAAAAATCGGTGGATCTATGTGAGAAGCAATATTGTGTGTCTCGATATCGACATTATCTATATATGTATTATGATATATACATATACATTCGCATAGTGGGCGTAACTGGCGGGATTCAGTTATAAAATGAGTATAATTGACCACCACCTCAGTGATGCAGATATTTTATTGAGCTGAACTCTCTATTTTGTGTCCAGTGAAACATAGTCATGCCGTATATATATATATATAAAGTGACTGCTACGTGACAGTTTGACTGTTTTAACCTTTTTTTGTTTCTAGTTTTTGTTATTGACTCTATTTAGAGTCCATGCTAGGACAAGGGTATGTTGTGCCGGTACTGACGTATGCACGAGTGTTCATTGACTGAATAAAGTCTTGTCACCATCAACTTGAAGTCCAGAAGTGTCTTTCTTTTCGTTTTTCAGAATATAGTGTATTCTATATTCTTGCAATATTCTGTGTCCGTTAGCGTTGAGTTGTTGACCGATTTACCCTTGCGGTTAACAGCGGTGACCCGAAGTATGGTGGTTTGATCCTTGCCACGGGAGTCGCATTTTGATGGAGGTGAAATGGCCCGTGTACTGTGTGATGTCGGGGAACGCTGAAGAACATGACGTTGCAGAAATCGTCGATGCCTCATTATGGTGTCTCTAATAATCGCGTTGTGGTTTTGGCACATGAAATTCTAGATATTGACTCTTGTGCTCTGAATTCCTGACATCTTGTTAGCTTTGTCGGTAGCGCAAACTCTTCGGAAACCTGTTGGGATCCCTTAGAACTAGAAAGTGTGGTCGTCAATTACCCCTTTCATAGAGTAGTCCTGCATGAGGATATTTGTTGTGAAATGTTTTGTTTGCTTTGGAATCATGGGCCTGCTTTTGAGGCACCGTAAGTACCAAGCCGAAGTTAATCAGCTGGTGTGTTCCGATCATGGTTGCCCCGAAATGAACTGTCAACAACAACAAAAAAAACAATTTTCAGGGCTTGGTTTTTTTTGTTTTTTTTTGTCTGTTTGTACCAAGAAACACATAGGGGACGTTATTTGTTGTCTCTTACTTGCAGCGATTGTCATAAAACTAGAGGGACAACTTCCCGCTAAGCAGCACCAACCAGAAGGTCACACTTTCGGTCCTTTGTCGTATTCTCTAGGATATTACTTGCCATCTTAACAGAAAAAAAAAAAAACATTTCTGGTAGCAGGCTATTGCTTCTTTCATCCAGATGCCCTGCATTTTGTTGAAGTATGTTGGGTTGTGCTCAAGCACACATATCTTCAGCGTCTCAAAACGGCTCTATGGATATTGTGCCCAAATGAAAAAGTGGCTGTGGTTTCGCATGCTTGTCTTCTAGGCGCACTACAGCAAGGTTGAATCTCTGAGGAAACTTGATGCCCAGGACACCCTGTTACACGGCCTCAGAGATTACAGCTTGCTGTTGTTCTGTAAGTGAGCAGCCGCAAAATGAAAATAATAATAAGAGCTGGGTAAATAAAGCGGGTACAAAAAGAACAAAACAGTGTTGCAACAACAATAAAATACACTTGTTCTTGTTGAGTATTTAGTACAGCTTTTTTTCTGTGGCAAAAAGTTTTAAAACTAAGCTTTATTCAATACTGGTTTAAAACTCACCAAAACATTTTGTGTGTTTTTTTTTCAAAGTATTGTTTTTGTGTAAAATTTTATATATTTACTGCTTTGTTTATTAACGTAAGTTTTTAATTTTTTATTTGTCAAAAATTATAGAGTTTACTACACTGTTTATTGTATGCAACTTTACATCCAATATACTCGACATTATTTAGCGTACACTAGCGCTTTCAGTTGTAAGCTTACGATACGTGTAGCTTTTGGTCAATGCTATAGAAATGTTTAGGGCTATCAATATGGCGGCCCCCACGCGTGTGTAAGCAGCTGTCGGAAACGGCGTGTGTGCGTGCGTCGTGTTCAAGTCGCTCAGCGTGTAGTACTTCTGTATATTTGTATCGGCGCGTCCTAGCAACAGCATGTCGGAAAAAGAGCTCGAGTTCCACGAGATGGGCCTAGACGATCGGCTGCTCAAGGCGATCGCCAAGCTCGGCTGGGGCAAACCGACTCCCATCCAGGAGAAAGCAGTGCCGCTCATACTCGAAGGAAAGGACGTCTTGGCGCGAGCCCGAACCGGCAGCGGCAAGACGGGTGGCTTCTGTTTGCCCATGATCCATCGCTTGATGCAGTACCGCACCGACCAGGAGCCAGCCACCCGCGGCATCATACTGGCGCCCACCAAAGAACTGTGCGCTCAAATAGCGCGTTGCGTTTCCCAGTTGTCCGGCACTTGGCTGCGTTGCGTCGACGTCTCGGGCACCGCAGACCTGGCGATCCAACGACCGCTTCTAGCCGAACGTCCTGCCATAGTCGTGGGCACGCCTTCGCGAATTCTGGCCCACCTGAAGGCGGGACACCTGACGCTCAAGTTGGAAATGCTCGTCATCGACGAGGCAGACCTGGTCCTTTCCTTCGGACACGAACAAGACCTCAACGAACTCTTGACGCGACTCCCCAACAAGTGTCAGACGATTCTCACCTCGGCCACGCTAAGTCCCGACGTTCTAAACCTCAAGCGCTTAGCGCTTCGCAACGCCGTCACCCTCAAACTCCAGGAAGCAGAGCAGGACCAACAACGTCTGGCGCAGTACGTCATCCGCTGCGAAGAGGACGACAAGTTCGCCCTCCTGTGCGCCCTGTTCAAGCTACGCCTGATTGTCGGCAAGACCCTCATCTTCGTGACCACAGTGGACCGCTGCTTCGTCGTTAAACTCTTCCTAGAACAGTTCGGCGTCCGCTGCTGTGTCCTCAATTCGGAGCTTCCCCTGGCATCGCGTGCCCTCATCCTGAACCAGTTCAACGAAGGCCGCTACGAGATCATGGTCGCGTCGGACGAGAAAGGCGCCGAAGTCCAAGACAAGGCACCCAAAAAAAGTAAGAAGCGAAACCAGGACCCCGAGTATGGCGTCTGCCGTGGTCTGGACTTCCAAAACGTCGCTAACGTCATCAACCTGGACTTCCCGGCGACCGTGCAGGCTTACCAACACCGTGTGGGCCGGACGGCACGGGGTGACCGCAAGGGCACCGCCTTGTCACTCGTAAAAGACCGGGAGGCCCACCTTCTGGAAGCCGTCCAGAAGGTGCTCCCCGAAGGCACCCTCAAGCCGTACCTGTTTCGCATGGAAGAGATCGAGCCATTCCGGTATAGAAGCAAGGACGCCTTCCGCGCCGTAACACGAATCGCGGTGCGCGAGGCCCGCCTCAAAGAGATCAAGACTGAGATGCTGTCATCACAGAAGTTGCAGTCCTTCTTTGAGGAGAACCCGAGGGAGCGACAGCTCCTGCGTCACGACAAGGCGCTGCACATCATCAAGCACCAGCCGCACCTGAAGCACTGCCCAGACTACATCATCCCGCCCACGCTGCAGCGCAGTCTCCAGAAGGAAGGTGCCACCAAGGCACCACAACAGCCCGCCAAGCGACCCATGACGCGAGAGGCAAAGAACCGAAAGTACGGCAAGAAGCCCCGGAGAAACGACCCGCTTCAGACTTTCAATTGTGACTGAGATGTCGTTACAGATTTTGGCCTACTTTCTTGTGAGTTCATTTCACTGATCCCAGCTAGACAAGTGGCAGATGACATTGGGACATCTCACTGAACTATGTTGTTACTCCGTGTTTCAAACATGGGGTCGTTGTTGTCTACATAATAAGAGAGCTTGTTAATATGCATTCGGCTCTCCTCAAGGCTTGCGTATGGGCCATTTTTATTAGGCCTCATATACTTTTTCAGTCTAACTGTTCTCAAAGAATGCAGTTTCACTGTCAAAGTGAGCAATAAAACGTACCACGATGGTCTGTATGCTTTGGTACTAGGTTATGTTCAACTATTACATTCCTTACCTTGCAAGACTTGTGTTTTCAGGCGAAAGGTTTAGAGGCTTAGTAGCAGTGTCGCACGACCATTTTCAACTGCTGTCGAGGCTGATCTGGATTGAATTTGCAGACTGCAAGCGCGAATTAGCCAATTACAGTTGACAAATCCGATCCTGATTTGGCCTGATTGCAAGAGATGGCACATCATGTGACACAGAAAGCCACCACTCAGGATGCTGCCACCTTGTTGTGTGAAATGTGCTGCCAATACAGGCTTCACATATTGATAAAAACAAAAAGGTCCAGGCCTATGGTACAAACATTGCTATAGATTTAATCATGCAAGCATACTTTCTACTTCTAAAGTGCTTTGTCGTACCATCAAATCACAATAATGACTCTACAGCTGGGAAGCATACAAAGTGCAGATTGAAAGCGTTGACCCTTGAGCAGGTTGGTAGAGATTCACTTCAAAAAGTTCTAACCGTGCATATAACGATTAGGAAAGTACGAGACAGCAGACGCAAAACACTGACTTCCAACTAGTTTTTTTATTTCGATAAGAAGTGCATTTATGCAATGTAAGGGAGAGGGTGCGAGACCAAAATAGAATTTAAAAAGTAGATGAGCATCAGTGGTGAGCATTGCTTCATCATTTCACATTGACCATATCACCCCATGCGCCTTAAACTCCAGCCAGGTAATCTGTTTATTGAATTAAAAGTGCAATATAAGGTGCACTAATACACGCAAGGTGCAGATAGTTTCACTTTGTATTTAAACAGATCATGATAGTGCGCCAGGCTTCAGCCGACGCCTTGCCACGGTGGTGCACCCAAGTCAGGACACGAACGGCTGCTCTCCGTTGGCTGATAGTCGTATAAACCTGAGATGCTTTCAGCGTTTTGGAAGCCAGTTGTTGACCGACACCTGATGCCGGACGCTTGTCCCTCGAGCCAGAATGTGCGCATGTCTCCTTTTCCCTGTAAGAAACACGCAAAAGTGTGACCATGAAAATTAAATAACTGCAATTGAAAGCCAGCGGGAAAGTGGATTCCTAAGGCCGTGAACACATTTAACACCACAGCAGCTTGTTCTGAATATCGTGCAGTTGTTATTTACAGGGAAAATAACAAATTATCTTGGGGGAGGCAACGACGTAAAAGCTAGAAAGCCTCACGATGTCTTGTTCTCATGAACATAGATGCTGCATGCATTGGTTGAGACATTATGTACAGTAGGCCATAGAACAATACAGCCACCTAATAGCTATCCAGCGACTGAGGGATGATTCCACCGGCACCTAATGGGTCGAGGGCATGAACGGATCTCATCCTGAAAGAAAAGAAGATCGCGCGCTGCTTTTTTACTCGAGATTCAGCTGTGACAGATGCATCTTCCAGGATCTACCTACTCGGTGGCTTTACTGGAGGACCCCAGTACTACTAAAACCTCGTGACGATGCAGACCACTAGAGCATGAGGTGAAAGTGGTGTAAGCGCCATCTGCTCCTGTAAGGATAGCTCTGGCTAACAAATCGCCAGAGCAATGCGCTGAAGAGCAGACGGCTTGCCACTAGATGGCGCACATGACGATTTCATTACACATTTGCGTGGTTTGTATCATTTTGCGGTAGACTTGTGCATCATGTATGCAGTCTTTGCATTGATTTACATATTATCATATGCAAATTTCTCTACACACCTACACTGAACGTTCTATACATTCTCCGACAGGTCTCTTGGCAGTAAATCACCATCTTCCTTGCGATGTCTGCAATGACACCACCTTCTTTGCAGTATAATTTACCATGACCTTTAATATGTGTATAGCAAACATGTCCTGCTGTAAGTAAAGTGCTGAATACCCCATGTGAATTACCCAATCAGAAGTGGTGTTCTTCTTTTTCTTTAAAACTTTATTTATTATCCTGTACATGACGTGAATACATCAGCCTGACTATTCTCATGATGGAACAGGGAGGTCGAGCCTCCTTGCCCTGTCGTGGTCATACTGGACAGCCAGGATTTGATTGTCGTCAGCTGGTGATCGGATGAGCTTTTCAAAGAATTCACGCTTAATACCGGGCTCCAGTGAACCGCAATCCCAGAGAATGTGGTCTAATGTGCATGCATTTTCGTTGCAGGCTTTGCATGTGATTTTTATTTCTTCCACTCCATACCACTCCCTGATTTGAACCGGTGAATAGTACAATTTCATTTGTAGTTGTCTAAGTGTTATGGCTTCTGCTCTGTTTAGGTTTGCGTGGGGGTGCAGATAAATTCTTCTGTCCAGATACAAGTCTTTAGGGATTTCATTATACGTGGTGAGTAGATGGTGATCAGTAGCTGCACAGTAAGCGTGTCCATTGTCATAAAGGAAGGAATTCATTCCTGTCAGCAATATCATTTAGCATTGTTTCATTTTGCCTTTGCTACCTAATAAGCTGCAAACTAAAGGTGATGTGATCCATTTCTCTGTCAGAAGGGAAGATGAAGAGAGTTACACGGAAAATGCATTTACATGCTTTAAATGTTGGCACATTACACTGTCCTTCTGCCCTTCTAATCAAATTACCTCGTTACCTAGAGGCTAAGGCACTCGGCTGCTGCCCCTCAGGTCGTGAGATGATGAACCGCCGGTCGCGGCAGCCACATTTTTGATGAGGCCAAAATGCTTAAGGCCTATGTGCTTAGATTTATGTGCACGTTAAAGAACCCCAAGTGGTGAAACTTTCGGACCCCTTTAATATGGCGTCTCTCATAATCAAACAGTGGTTTTGGGATATTAAACCCGTACAATTAATATATAATGTTTTTCTAATCAGCGGTGGAATGCACACGTACCGATATTACTACGAACCTGCAAACCCCAAGAGGTCCCTTTAGCAGCTTGATATATGTACACTGTAGCTTTTGCCTTCACATGAGCAGTGAAAAAGTTTTCGTTAACTGTCAAATATTGTTTAAAGCAGTGAAAACTTTGACACTTTTCTACCAAGGTTAAAATATTTTAAATGCATTGTGAATATCTCTGATGATTGTACCACTTCATGCACAATATTTTTTTACCGGCAGGCACCCAGAGAAAAATCACAGACACCCAAAATAGCAGACAAGCGTGGGATACCTTAAGGGGACTCTAAAGTCAAACAACAATTTACCTCAGAGGTAAAGCTCAATGTATGACAACATCTAAAACGACAATATTATCAACAACAGTGCCCTACTTACTGAGAAATTAAGGTAAATGCACACAATTCAAGCGCCGCAGTAGGTCATTTTCAAAATGATCTTGATGACATTAGACGGACCATCTACAATTAATCACTAGTAATCTATCTAACTGAACTAAGTGAAGAACCTTTCATGCATTGATGGACGCAATAAACTGCTGCTTGTTCGTTTCTGTTTGATTTATATAGAAAATAACCGCCGGACTTTACTATGGGGAATGGCACGAATGGTTCAAAAATTCAATTTTCGCATGGTTACACAGGACAGGTAGTGTCATGTAGCAGGGCGTGGTTGCAGTTGAAACAAAAGCGTCTGCAATCTTGAAGTCGATGGCGGGAAATTGATCAATGGCCGTTATTGCTACCGTGGCTCCCGCAGTTTTCAGCCTACGGATAGTAGCGCAGTAAAACCGGGCAATGTCGCGCATGGCAACAGTGACATGAGTCGGTCGGGTCGGTGCCCTTCTTGAAGCGGGTAATTTGAAGTGCGCTAACCTGATGGGGAGCACTAAAACGTGATCTTATTTCAATATAGGCCCTTTCTTGGCACAAAAGTAACACTACGTGGTTTCTGGACCGTCATTTCAATAATTAACGTCGACTTAGTAGTTGACTTTACTGTCCCTTTAACAAGAGTAAGCTTTCTGAATCACATATCTGTTGTTTAGCACCAATTACGATGTACGCTATCTCCTCAATTCGCTGCGAGAAAAAATTTTTATATTTTACGTTCGGTATAGACAAGCTTGTGATTTTCACAAATTATACTAATCAATGTGACAGGAAATGCACAACTGAAGATAATGCGAAAACGGGTAGTCTTGCCTTGATGTAGACTAGCCCTCGCTCTTCCAGGATGTAACCTCCTGCTTTCTCCAGCAATTGCTTGCAGGTTTCGCTGCAGTGAATCTTCAGTGCTGCAGTGAACAAAATGTGCAGTAAGTGCAGTTACTGCCACCGAGTACAAGTGTCACATGACAGGGAAAGTAGCTTCAGATTCAAGAAATAAAAGACAGACGATTAAATCAGTACTTTCCAGTGTGAAAATATTGATACTCAGAGGCTACTTTATTCAAATAGTTATACCACTCTTTTTATACAGTAATTTTTTTTTACAAAAGCGAATTGCTGAAATGCCTCTATGAAGAGCCAGACTAGTTGACATGTTGATGTTATGGAACTGCACATCGTGTCTTGGTTTACTAAGTTTGCATGCCTACTCTCATGCCATCGGTATAGTACGACTTTGCTCTGTATACTATTTGCAAAGGAAAACTACAAATGTGCTTATAAAAGTGGTGCATCTTAACAAAAGCTTCAGGTGTCTTCTGTGTACCTTTTTTATGCTTTTCAGATGTTCTCAATGTTGAAGTGAAGGACAGCAATTAGTATTATATGTTTGACATTGAATGTATACGGCATTTTCAGAGTAAGTGCTAATGGAAACCTGTTATTCATAATAACTCAGTCTAGAGATTACCACTGGTTGCTGAAAAAAAAGTAATTATGGTCGCATAACAGACTCACGACTTCCCGTGGACTCCATCCGGGAAGCAGTGTTGACCGTGTCGCCAAAAAAGCAGTAACGAGGCATCTTCCTGCCGACGACGCCGGCGCAGACGGGACCTGCGGTTTCCCTCGAGTTGTTACGCTTTGTGCAAAGTTTAGAGCACACACACTAATGCGAAAAAACTTGATTAGTTTGGTCTGAAAAATTATTCTTCGAGAATAGTTAATTGCGTGATCAGAGGTTCATTGGAGCAAGATGCGTATATGCAGGAGTACAACTGTGGCAGGCGTGACGAAAGAAGGACCATGTCATCCACTGCGGAGCAGCGTTGCAGCTGCGCTCGCTCAGAGCCTCACCACTGCGGTACCAAGTGAGTAACGTGACCAATCGTAGACTACTGAGCCAAACGTACCTTTCGTTCATGATGACTGGGGTACAGAAACTGTAGACCTGGGTTCTTTTCTGTCATTTCGCGCCGAAACTCTGCAGCCCCTGAATGTGTGACGTTATAGATTTTTTCATTTTCTATTTTAGCCACCTGTGCTAACTAAAAAAAAATATGGTTCTTCTTTGTGGCTTCTTAAGCCTCTGCTTCCCATAAAACATTTGTATATTTTTTACCTAAACATCGCAATGCTTGAAAAGGATAAAAGCTGAAGCTTGTTGGCAACGCTTCATCGTAAAGGCAGCTTGTGGTACACAAGACGAGAAAGACAAGAACTTCACAGTGCAAAGTCTTGTTGTCTCTCCTGTCCTGTGAACCCGTGCTGTTTTTTTACGATGAAATCACAATGCTGTGCACAGCTAGCAGGCAGTTAAAATGGCAATCATAATAGAGTTAATTAATGGCATTGTGGTCAGGTATAGCGTCAATGTACATATTATTTGATAAGCCGATCAATTACGCAAAATTCAGAAAGGGGCCTCCCCTTGCAGCTTATTTCGCGCTGCCCTCGTACTTTTACTGTGCTGCAAAAATATCTACGACGCTGCATGGTACGTCGTATTTATAAAAACGGTTCGCAATGTGATCCTGTTCGTTTGCACTCGTGCGATTCACCTGAACCACGCTTGCGCCACTAAAAGAGCGCTTACGACCATTCATACAACGCCAACAGCCTTTCTTTTCGAATCACTATGGTGTAAGATTAAAATATATTGCTGTACACACCTTATCAAGCTCACACTATTGTTCGGCTCTGGTGCAGTGCACGCTCCTCACCCGAATGCATTCCCGCGCGAAGCATGAGCATCTCTTCTGGCCTGTGCCGGATTCGGAAGTTGCCAACGCTCCTGAGCAAATGAAGCGCCATGGACGCCACCTGGGAGGCGTGTGCCACGTCCGGGTGGCGCGCTAGCCCGCCGACCACCATGTAGGCGTCCCCGATTGTCTCCACCTTGTAGACCGCGTAGTTTTCGATCACCGCGTCGAAGCACGTGTACAGGTCGTTCAGGAGCTCCACCACCTGTGTCGCACATGCGCAAACGGCGGCAGGTGATGAAAAAAACGTGGCAGCGCGCAGTAAATCGAAACTATACGGCTATACGACCAGAGAACTCAGCGGAGGCCGGCCATTAAAAGTTTGTATATATTTCTAAAAGATCAAGCAAGAACAACGTTTGTAGTGATTGAAGGCAATGTTCTGCTGTCATGGCTGTCGACAATCATTCACATGAGGCAGACGTCATTGATTTAAGGCATTGCAGTGACACTATATATACCAGACAGCCAATATTAAGACGAAAATTGAATGAGGACGCCAATGTATGTATTAATAAGCGCCTCATGAGAGCACGTTTTCCCCTGGGTCCTCTTTGAAGGGACCCTGCAACACTTTTTAAACATGGTCAGAAAACGCTGCCGATCGGTAGTAGAGCCTCCCGACAACACGTGAGGCAAATGTTATAGCACAGCACGCGGCCTGGAATTCACAATGAATTATCAGAATCGGCTAAAAATTGATTTCTTTTCTCTTAACAAATAATGTTATATGCCCCAAAATCACGCGTCAACAACCCGTCTATCAGCCATTGGCTGATTTGAACATGGCGCGCTCGCTCGTTACAGAGATCGCCGCGGGAGGCCGCTACTTGTCCACGCGTGTGCGCGTGATCACACTGAAAAAGTCGCGCATTCGAAGAAAAAAAAAGAAAAAAAGTGCTCAAGGTCGCGAAGTGCGCGTGACGTTTTTCTGTGGCCCCGCCATTTCTCCCTGCTTAGCTTCCAGTACTTTCGTCAGGACGAGAGAAGAGAGAATGCAATTGCAGCATGCGACAAAGCTTTGTAACTCCACTCGCACTGGACGGATTATTAAAATTTTTGCGGTGCTGAATTCATGAGGCAATAAGCTCTTCCTGTGAATTCATTCCATGGTTACTTGAAAAAGTGTTTCAGGTTCCCTTTTACTGATGTGTATAATGGGACTGCCACTTTTTCTATGCTATCACGGTAGCAAATCTAGACAGGCGTACAGTTCAAAGTGGAATACCGAGTTGATTGGGTCGTCACCATATCATGTATATAGCCAAGTCAAAGAGAGTAGCGCAGGGTAGCCTTAGAAATCTTCTCGCATATGAAACAATACCGTTTAGATATGGTACCCATACACGAACCTCCATGGGTGTGCTCTGTGCCGACAGTCGGGTGAAGCCCACGATGTCGCTGAAGTAGATGGTGACCGAATCAAAGCTCTCCGCCTCTACCTTTTTGCCCCGCTTCAGTTGGTCCGCCACATTCCTGCGGTTGAGAAGTGATAGTCGCTTTAGCATAAACCTTGGTAAAACGAACCAGGATATAACGAAATGTTGGTTATAACGAAGTGAATGACAAGTAGTTTTACAATGAGTATAGCTTTGGGAATGAACCATTATACCAAACTTTTGGATATAGTGAACTTATTTTCGTGTAAGATGCATTGTACTAACGAGGTTTACATTGAAGTTGCCATATGCGCATATTTTAATCTACGCAGCATGTTTAATAAGCAGACGTCCATGCTACGCGTACCATGAATTAGTTTTGAAGCCCTGTGCGTACACTAGTATAGAATGAGGTACAAAAATAAAAATGACGTATGCATCACTTGCCTGGGCAACATCTCATAGAGAAGGGCGTCGGCGCGCCGCTTCTCCTGCGCCAGCTGGTCTGTACGCTGGTCAACCAAGGCCTCCAGATTGGTAGCGTACGTTTCCATCATGGACAGCATGTTGTCCACAATACTTGGCTTCCTAGTACGACATAGAAACGAAGATAAAGTTGACTACAATAGGCAGACTCAGCTATAGTTCGCATTACATAAATGTCATAATAATCGCTTTGAGCATGATTAGCATGTCGCATTGAAATTATTTCCGATGGCATAGCTAGGGGAGACATGGTGCAAGGTATATATGTTATAAACGCGGGAAGATTTGGTGCTTTTTCTCTCCCTTCTCGTTTTTAACCCAACAGCCACGTCTTTCACGTAACATAGCTAAAATCTATGACAATTGGAGTCTGTTCCCTAATTTAGTACTCATTTCAGGGCCGGTATCATTGGCGTTGCCAAAAATACGATCGCTGAAGTTTAACTCCTCCCCTCCCCCTCTGCCTCTGTAAGTTATTCTGATTACGCCCCTGGCTGATGTAAAGTGGTGCAAATGCCAGACGTATTGCGGTGGAGCGTATTAAAATGACCCTGCAACACTTTTTTGAGTAGCCATGGAATGAATTCTCTGATGGAGCTTATTGCCTCATGAATTAAGTCCCACAAAAAAAAACTCAGAATACGTCCACGGAGTTACAAACATTAGTAATGGTTTAAATACTGGGGTACAGTTATGCTAAATGCAAAGTTAGGGAGAAGACATTGTCACATGCTGCAATTGCATTTTCTCTTCTGTCGTCCCGCCGAAAGCACTGGAAGCTAGGCAGGGAGGGATGGCAGGGCCAGAGAAAAACGTCACGCGCACTTCGTGACCTTGAGTACTTTTTGTTCTTTTTTTTCTTCGAATGTGCTGTTTTTCAGGACGATCGCTTGCGCATGCGTGGACAAGCCGTAGCATCTCGCGGTGATCTCTGTGACGACCGAGCGGCCATGCTCATATCAGCCAATGGCTCATGCAACAGCTGTGACGAGTGATTTTGGAGTTTGTTTCGTCAATTGTCGGGAGAAGAGAAAGCAATTTTTAGCTGACAATAAACATTCATTGTGAATTCCAGGCGGCGTGCTGCGCTCTAATATTTGACTCGCGTGTTCTCGAGAGAGTCTCCGATTGATCTGCAACGTTTCCTGACCATGCCTAAAGAGTGTGGCAGGGCGCCTTTAAAGTGGCTCTAAAGGTGTTTGCTTTTTCACTACACTCAAGTCACCAGGCTTGCCGGGAGATGGCGCTTGGTGAAAGAGAAAGTGCACAAAAAACAATGCCAGTGGCGACGCCCCCTTGAAGTTTCAGTGCCGAATGTCGTGACGTCATAGATTTTATACGTCTACTGGGCCTACGTAATTGCTAACTGGTGATGTGGTACCCGATACTCCGTGCAGCCAGAGATGTAGCATACCAAGTTTCAAGACAATTAGTTGCACCAATGTCACCAAAATACGAACAAAAAAATCGATTTGAAATTGCTCACACATAGCGTAGACATTTTAGCGCAAAATATAAAGATTAACTTTTTACCTATATTTCTTTGAGCATATAGAGCAGCGAAACTAACATCAACAGAGTTTTCAGAGCACTATCAGTCTAACTTGATTCGTTGTTTTACTTGTCCCATTAAGAGTGAAATGCAGTCACGTGCGTTTCATGTGAGACTAGCTAGTACACCAAGTTTCCGTAAATCAATTTCGGCGCGAACCGGTATTTGGGGTTGTTACATTCTCGCAACACACAATGTATATACTCTAAAACCTTGTCATATCCAAGTCGCATTTGGCACAAAAACAACTTTGTTATATCCGAAAAAAAAATGCTTCTTGGCGTATACTTGTACCACTGTATCTAAGGAAAGACCATTGATTTACTTTGTTGTATCTGATCATTCGCTATATCCGTGTTCATTATACCGAGGTGCGAGTTATAAACGACGACGAACGTACAGTCCGCGACGCATGTGCCTCAGCCTTGCGCGCACCGCCTTGAAATCCGGTCGGTGGTCGGGCGCCTCGGCCCAGCACTCGGTCAAGAGGGTGCGCACGTACTCCACGTCCCATGGCTCGGCCAGCTCACACAGCGGCGGCCTGAAGGGCAGCGACTCCTGCTTCTCGCTGTCCGTCGCCAAGTGGTGGCCGAGAGGGCGTCGGACGCGCTCCAATATCTCTGCGCAGATGTGGCGCATGCGACAGGACTCGTGGGGTCTGAAGACATCACTGTTCTCGGAACAAACGGACGCAGTCAGGAAAATCAAACACGTGCGTGTACATTTACTAGCCTGGTTTTACAATGACGATATCACCAATGGAATCTGATACATCACCAGTGATCAGCTGAATATTCCTATGCGACATGCCGATAAAATACATAAACAACATAACAGACGCAAGGTGAATGCGCTGCTGCAAGTGTCCCACTCGCCACGAGGGGCCCACCATAACGGCCCGCGATGCCATCTTCATGAACCCATCGCAGGAGACATCCGTCTAACGCCCGTTGCCAAACCTCCCAGAGAGTTCCTGTTGTTTCCTCTGCGCCTGCCTATTCTCGCTTCCGCCAAGTGGCGCTGCTGGCGCAACCGCGCTAACCCTAACCCACGCGAGCGAAGTGGCACTTCTCTCTTGGTGGTTGTGAAATCTAACCGCGACTAATACGCGAGACGCAGGCGCGAGATGAGTTACAGGTGGTGATAGCAACCCCATAACTAGCAAGGACCGTGTTTGCGTCTGGGGGCGGCTTGCGCTTACAGTGACACCAAGAGAGCCGCTCTCTCATGTTGCCATAACGTGGCGCTCACCATGGCTTTGTACCCAAATCACAAGACGTAATTTCGGCTATATTGTCTTCTAGTTACTGATGCTATATATGAATGAAACAATAGCTTATATTTGCCGATTATGCGTATTGCGGCATATACGACGAAGATTGGCGTTTTCTATTGGCCCTAATAAGTTATGCTCCAGCAAGTGTGGCGCCGGAATCTTTTTACTGGAGGGAGGGGGCACCCAAGACAACAGGGCGCTATGCCTTCGTGTTGAGTGCTGAGGAGGGGATTTAAGCATTGTGCTTACTGGCACCGCTCCTGTGTTCTTATAGGGCTCCTTACGTCGCGCTTTATTTACCTATCTGTTGTAATAAGGATACCATACTGAATACGCAGTGAGGCTACTACAATGATCTGTAGAACGCATTACCATTGTAGTTTGTCGTGTTTTAGGCCTCCCATGACAAAAGCAGTAACTGTTGTGAAGTATGGCGCTGGTCGAAATTTAGACAGGAAAGGACGTACTGAAATGGGAGCAAGAAGAAACTATTGTAAGCTCACCGCTAGCTGTGAGTGTTGTTTTGCCGAAAGGCCCCGACCTGGCGAGCATCTCGAAGAGCACAACGCCGAATGAGTAAACGTCGCCGCGTGGCGTCCCTTCCGGTGGTGAGGCCCGGTTGCGGAGCAGCTCAGGAGCACGCCACAAGAGCTCTGTATTGATTCAGCAGATTTTCGAATTAATTAATCAATCACTCAGTAAATAAATCAATCAATCTGTAAGGCTATCTTTGATCTGTCTATATATCTACACAAAAAGTGAGTCTATCTGTCAAAACTGAAAGATGAAACCACGGTTACCAAAAAGTGACACAGCTGTATTCTGTCAACGGGAAACGCTTGCCGTGGTAATCAGGATCCATTCACTTGCAGTTTGACTGGCCTAGTACCAGATGGTTTCCAGGTGGCTTCCAGTTTGTTCCAGGAAGGGAAGCAGCTGCTTCCGTGGCTGATTACAGCTGGCCCGCAACTGGGCAGTCAAGTTCCAGCTGGAACGAGTTGATACCTGATATACCGCTTGAAAGCAGTTATATTAACAGTACGAATTCGGACCTTTGGGCTCTTTCGCTTACATCGTGTGAAGAAGCGCATGGGAAAAGTGGTTTTCAGTACGCAGAAGGATATTTGCACAAGGAGGTAAGTTCCTGGCTAAGCCTCCGGTGGAGATGCCTCGATTCGCTGTCATCATTTCGGGATAGAACTTCTCTTCGTTAATTACTAGATAGTTATTCTTGACGTTATAAAAGGGCTATCCTCTCTCAAGGTAATACGTAAGGTTGATATAAGCATTCGATTAAAGTGGGTAACGGCATCACATGCCCTGAATGGATCGGAAGAGGAATACACCGTTATAGACTCGCAATGAACTCTGTCATCGCGCCACTAACCTAGGACATGGCATAATCTTTCAATGGACTGCCGGGTCACTGTGGATTCGGTGGTAACCACCTCACCGACAACGCTGCCCCATGTCCCCATAACGGAGCGCCCACACTGCTCATACCCCAGTCAAGGGTTCATGCCGCAAGAGAACTTCGCCACAGCGCGCATAATACCACACTTATGCATTGGAATCTTCAACTGAACTCCACGCGATGGCCACAGAACCTCGCTTCATCACTCCAGTTACAGCTACCATCAATGACTTCGCGACGGGACACTACAATGGTGTGTTGGTTGCGGGTCAGCGTTGCCTTTACCAATTCATGCAGTTATCACATTGGTATGGCTGACTCCCCCAACTGTGATAACTGTCATTGCGTAGAAACTTTCGACCATGTACTGTGCCGTTGTCCAGACTTTAGATAAGATTGCCGGATTCTCCAGTGTGCCTTTAAGAGACTGGATGATTGATCCTTTATTCTAAAGAAGATCTTGGGTGCGTGGCCTTCAAGTACATCAGCAGAGACAGCCACACGAACCCTTCTACAATTCTTGAGGGCAACATCCCTGTGCAACCGCCTGTGAAACCTGAACTTTGTGCGCGGTACGTGTGAGTGTTATTTGTAATGTGTATCTACTCATCTTTTTCTCCTTTACTCCCTCATTTCCCTCTCCTCTCCTGTGTAGGGTAGCAAACTGTACATAGTCTGTTAACCTCTCAATCTTTCTGATATTCTTTTTTCTCTGTACGAACTCGCACGTTTTGCTTCCTTCGTAACTTTATGCGTGCTTCTCGTATGAGTAAATGTCACTCAGCTGTGCTCTCTAGACTGCCTTTGGCCGCTTCCGTGTTGACCGTCATCGCCTGCGATGTGCCTGATCTGGGCCAATCCAAAGTCGGCTACCTTGAGGACCCAGCGGCTGTCGACGAGGCAGTTGGCAGAGCGCAAATCGCCGTGGCTGCGCACTGGACTCTCGTGCAAGAACAACATTCCCTGCACAAAGACAGAAGAGGAGGAGTGTGTGTGGGGGGGGGGGGGGGGGAGTTCGTCACAGCACCCCCCTTCCTATTAGCTTAATGTATGGGGCTGACTTTGCGCCCCCTTCTCGCCCCCAGCCCCTCCCCGTGCGCACGCCTATGACAAAGAGGGAGGGGCGTGCACAGGGCTCACTTTCAGGGGGTGGGCGAGGATTTGTCGCAGCGCCCTCCTGGAGCAGACTTCGTGACCACCTCACAGGTGACTAGGAGTGTGGTGACCCCCTTGCCGCACCTACCTGTGCGCATGCCTTCGAGGAGGAATGAATGTTGATCAATGTAGCAGACCATCTGCTAAATTAAAACGAGGTCAAGTGGGACTAGCGCCAATACACCGATAACATATTTTCTGTAAATGAATTAACATTGTGAAACTGCAGTGTCACGTTTTCAAAGCATTGCTGACTTACATTGCATACGTTACAAGAAAGAGCATGCCGCCATAGAACATATTTTCTATGCTGAGGCCAATTCTCGTACGCATACGTCATCCTCGTAGGTGGAGTCCAAAAGACAGCATGCTTCATAATTGAAAAGATGAATACTGAGCGATGACGTGCCTCTCGCAATGGTCTGCCCTTGGTTCCTGGTCTTTTCGGTGTAAAGATGGGAACAAAACAGTTCTTGAAATGTCGCATCAGGGGCTTTGGGATACCTTTATCGTCACAAACCTTCGTTGCCATAACCGACTGAGTAAAAGCCTGGGGTGCTCTTTGCGCCCTCCCTTACGTGGTTCGGGTGGAGAGTTTGTTCTCTCATTCATGGACTAGTTCGCACGCCACTGCCCAGAGCCTGCAGTCGGTGGTGGCCACACTCACCCGTACGAGGTCGTCAACCAGCGATGCGACGAACATGTTGTCTAGGCGTATGTCCTCGTTGTCCAGGAGGTCGCGCAGGCTTCCCCTGCTGCAGTAGTCGGTGACGACGCACACATTCGGAGGCTCCACGCACACGCCCACAAAGGTGCAGAGGTTGTCGTGCCGAAGTTCGCGGAGCTATTAAAAAAGGATCGTGTCGTCGTTGATTTAGTGTAGTTTTCAAATCCTCGGTAACTTGTCCATGTAAGATGACTGTGAACGGCTCCATATTCAGTTTAGACAGCCAGGTTTAATTTTTTTGTGAGCATGAATCACATCCAGTGACATCCGGTGGCAAGTTATCTTTTCATCCACTTTTCTTTCTTCCGATTTACATTACAAATATTTCTTACAACATACCCTACGCTTTTACTGGCACTATTGTGTGTTAGTTATCATTAATGTTGTGGCTGACAAAGTAAATGAGCCCTTAAAGGTGTACACTTTCCTTCTGATCTTCTTTTGGCATTCCTACACTACTGATTTGGGGGCGAGAAATTGAACCAGCACTCTGAGAACCGGGCCTTATAATTTTTATGAGCGTGGCAAAAAGCATATTTAGGATAAAGATGAACGTCAAACACCGCTCCCCTCCCACAAACCACAACTTAGCGCGAACCAGTAGGATTCCTAATCATAAAATCACCCTGGAAGGCATAAACATGCACAAAGGTCTCACAGAACTAAAACGAAAATTCTTAGAGCACGACATACTAAGCGCTCTTTTAACTAGCAATCATTGATGACAACAGAATAAATAATTTGTTCTGTCTTACTTGCCGAGAGGCTCCTCATCGTGATTCAATAGCTACTTAATTTAACCTACTGTTCGTGCTTATTTTGCTTTCAATTCACAATGTCTATATATATTTTGTTTGCAATGAAGAGGCTGGTTTTGTCTCCTTTTTGAAGAAGTGACCTCGTTAAACTTTAAACCTTCGTCTGTAGCAAAAAAAGGAACACTATGCAAGGAGGATGCTACGCGATGCGCTACCCTTATAGCGAAGTGACGTCTCTAACGAAGTATTCTGAAGGTCTCGGATACTCCAGTACGAATACGTTTCAAAGGAGCACGGACACAAAAGTTTTGGCACCTTATTTTTCGTTCTAGTAGCAATTGGTAATTTATGACCCGCTTATCACGGCTGAAAACTACGTTTGCACCAGTGTGTGACGGTTAGTTTTTTTTCAAAAGTTTTTAGAGCGCCCAGTCACAGTTTCGCTTTCAAAGAGCCCCTAGATGGGCAGGAGCAGTTCTGGTGGCAAGATAAACACAGCTGACTGCGTGACCACGCAAAACTCTGACGTATACTATAGGCTCAGCGCCGGCAGCCAGCACACGCGAAGAGCAGACACGAAGGGGGAAAAAAAGGAGCTGGCGCAATCGCGAGCAACCAGCCAACACAAAATCGTGACGTAGGTTTGTTTACATTGCCACCGCGGCGATGTCGTTGCTGCGGAGGAGTTCTGCACCTCGCTCAGTCACGCGGGATGCACTTTAAAATTGGATAATATTGTGTTAGAGCCCATATTTGTCCTTAATGTTGTCACGGGGTCGTGACGTGGACGAAGGGAGCAGACTGCAGGTCAGATAATAACTGTTTCTTCGGGCCAAACTTGCGGCCGCGTAAAAGGAAAGCCATATTACAGCAAGGCACTGGCACCGATAGCGGCGAGCAGAGCATCGGCCATCGATCAACGGACAAGCGGGGAAGCGCGTCGGCTTTCATACGCGTGTCGTCGAATATTCTAGCGTTATCGCCAGCGGCTATATGTTCCAGAAGAATCTGTTATGTTCGCGAAGTGGGCGTTATCTTAACGAATCGATCTGATACAGTCTCGAAGCTTCCCGAACTCTGCAGGCTCGGTTTGCGCATAGAATTACGTACAGTGTAACAGGGCGACAACAAGACTTGAGGAAGGAACGTGGCAATATTCCGTAGGTGTTGCGTACGTCTCCACGTAAATATACCTCACTCATTATTACGCCTTCAAAATTTTGTGTAAGTGCTCCTTCAATGTATTTAGTGGGCTACAAAAGCAGTCTCACCAGTTTGAGCTGCTGCTTGAGTGAGCGCGTGAGCGGGAGTGACTTCGTGTGGATCTTTTTGACGGCGCAGAGGCGGCCCCGGTAGACGCCCACAGGAGCGTAGAGTTGCGAGTACCGGAACTCGGGGTGCAACGAAAGCGACAATTGCGATGACGTCGGCACCGGCATCAGGCCATCACTGCTTTTGTCCGAAGGACCGTCGCCATGGCTCTGCAGAGTGGTGAGCCGTTTGCCATTCGTTATTTACTTATTTCACGTTGTCTCATGAAAACGCACAAGGCTGCATGGTTAGACCCGTAGTCATGCAATTGCTAGGAAGGGGTCTGAATAAACATGCATTACATGAACAGATTGTGTTACCAAGCGGATATTTTATGTGTAAGTACACTTCAATGATAACAAAAATGCCATGCAGTTTCGCCGTAAGGGTAAAGCAATGAATGTGATAGAAACAAATAGCTATGTCACGCGAAGAACGGCAAGCAGATCGAGACGTGCAGCGAGCTGCTCAAGCACAAGGGAGGCATGAGAACAATACACAAGGAAGCAACGCGACCTGACAGCCACTGAACGTAGTGCTCAAACACAAAGAACCCACGAAACGTAGGCACAGGTGTAATCAGTACGAGCGCGGACTAACGAGTGATGCAGTTGTTACTTCACTGTGTTTGAACAGCGCGCTCCTTTCGCATGCGGAACCCCTTCAGTGGGCGAAGTTTCCTTTGTACGCTTTGCAATTTAAACACCGTCTTTGCGGTGAAAGCTCACGACGAATAAGCGGGCACGATGTTGCGATGCCGATCGCACCCTTCGCTCCATCTCGCTGGTAACGCATAGGACACGCGCTTTTTATTGCGATAGCAATTTTATGGACAATCTCGGCTAGATTTCACCGCCGGCGTCGGTGTCATGCGCCGTATATGTATACGTATCTATATATATGTAAACGCAAGAGAGAAAAAATCCCAGAAGAAGGACTCCGGTGCGCGGAATCGAACGTGGTACCTCCGCGTTGCGATTGTGAGGCGTTAACCACTGAGCCACTGAGAGGTACCTGCTTGAACGTTCAAACGGCAAGATATTCATATCTACCACTTACCGCTGTTGACGTTTATCTCGGGGGGGGGGGGGGAGGGGCTATTGTGTTTATAGCATTATCAGCAAGATGGCGCAGTGAGTGCGCGGCGGCTCTCATCTCTCGCGCTACCTTTGGCCCTCGTAGAGAACAAGAGGGTGTACGCTCGATCGCGCGCCCTTATCTTGCAGTGGGGAGAATCGTACGTCTTAGCTAGCATTCGGGTTTCGTCGGAACGATTCTGTTGTAGTTACCGGGCGCACAAAGGTCACTGCAATCGTCGCACAACCTCCGTTTGCGAAAACGGCACGCTTTTCAGACACAGTGAAGTAACAACTGAGACGATTATTCGCGTTCATATGTACCTGTGAGTACGTTTCGTGTGTCATTTGTGCGTGAGAACCGTAGGACACGTTTTGATCTGCTTGCCATTCTGCGCGCGACCTTTCAATTTGTTGCTACCGCGTTCATTGTTTCGCCTTTGCGGCAAAGCTGCGACGTTTTTTGGCCGAGTGGTCGACCCCGCGCACTGTGGAGTGACAGGTCACCCATCAGATTCCGTGCGTCGGAAATTTTTTCTTAGATGCAAAACTTCTTATGCCTGGGGCCCTGTCCCTCAGGCCAGGGGCGTGGCACACCGGACACGTGAACTCTCCCCCCCCCCCCCTGTCACAGAACGAGCGCTAAACAAGAGCGCGCCGCCAAATCCTTGCGACAACGGGCGGCAGAAACGCCGTGAGGTAAAAAGAAAAAAAAAGAAAGCAAACATCCAGGGCTCCCGGGCGCGCGCTCTCCCCGCAGAAGCACGGCTTCGCAGACGATCCTCCTCACCCCACATCGGCGGCCCAGCAAGGCCGCGATTTTTCTAGAACGAAGGAGGCGGGGTCAGACCGAGTGAATCATCCTCCGCAGAGGGCAGTCGAACCGTCTCGTGCCTCTCCCCAGCCTTCGCTGCGCATCGCGCCGACGAAAGGAGGAGAACGTTCTGGAAGGTGGCGCGGAAAGTATTTAATCGAGCGGCCGAGACGAGAAATCAGGGGAAGACGGAAAGTTAGCGCCGGAGCGCGTAGGAATTCCGCCGTGTAGTCGGCGAAGGTTCTGCCCGTAGTGACAGAACAGGAGGAGACGGAAGTGAGCGCCAGAGTGCGTAGAGATTCCGCCGTGTAGTCGGCGAAGTTTTTGGTCCGTAGGGACGGCTCGAGCTACAGGCAAGAGCGTGGGTTTACCGCTATCGAGCGAAGACGCGGGCAACAGCTGCGTGTGTGAAGCCGACGGATTTCCGGCGAAGAGGTTTGAAGCTTGGAGAGTGGCCATTTGAGGACGCGAGGTTTCCTGGAAGAGAAACTTCGAGAGCTACGGAACGACAACAACGCTGGACTTGGAGTGAGTGATTCTCGGAAGAGTAACATTCAGACTTTTGTTCCAAGGACTTTGGACTGAATATGTTTTCTATCTCTTAGTCCTTAAGTATCTTGGTTGTTCAATGCATGCGACTGCATTGTAGTGTGTATTGTTGTCTGTGTCCGTTGTTTTGAGCGTGGCCGATTGTACCGTGTAGTACGTTGTTTGATTGGTGACGTATTGTATGTAACTATTGTGGAGTGTGCATTTTTATGTATTGTTTTCGATCTGCCATTATTGAGAATATAATTTGTTTGTTTATCAACTCTCGGCTCTGACTTGTTCTTTGGGCCACAGCCGGCGTCCGCTGGCGCACCAAAAAGGACCACTTCTAAATTGTCCACGCTTTCGTGGTGCGGTTCGGGGGGCCGATACTTCGGCTCTTGGAATTAGCCCGGCGATTGCCTCCCTAATAACGGGACAGGTGTGACACCCCCCAATCCCCGGAAACTTTTTTTCACCATAGCATAAAGAGCGAAAAGTAGCCATTTTAAGGGGGTGCCCGTTTCAAAATCAAGGTCCCCCCCCTCCCCCCGAAAAAAATTTCTGGCTACGCGCCTGCCTCAGGCCTGCGGTGTCTGTGCGTGAGCGTCCCCTCTCCCTTCTTTCCTACGCTCTCCCTCTCTCGCCTTGCAATGTCGACGTAGGCAGCGTCTGCTAGCGAGTTATTTGATTGAAAAAAAAATTATTGACTGCTCGCGTTGCACAACCATTCACTGCCCACCCCGTATACACTGTAGGCAACGTTTTTAGATACAATATCTAAAAACGTTGACTATATGCACTGGATCTTGACCTCCAAGGTAGTGCCAGTGGGAGATTTCTTATGTGCGTTGTTGAACGATAAAAATTCGCCGCGTGTGCGTCAAGTAAAAGCGGACTGCGGGTCTCCGTGCCCATGCATTCGGAGTCTTCGTCAGGGGACTCAAAGATTCGCAATTCACAGAAAGCAGTCAGAGAACATGCATATGCCCGGCTTGTTGCTGCGGATAATGGAACTTTTTGCTCCACACCTGTCTACATTGGCGTGTCTCGAGAGGTACGCATTACCGGCCCCATCAGTCGATCGTCCCGCGCGAAATCCAACCTTTTAATGCAACAGTTGTACATATGCACTTCTAGACTTACTGCGCATGACGTTGTCTTGGCAGCTTGCTGATGCACTGTGGGACCTCCTCGCATGTGGATCTCATCAAAGTCCAACTTCCAGAGCAGCCTGTCCAGCTCCTGCTCATACGCCCAGTATCTGAAATAAAATTAATGTCGAGGGGGGGGGGGGGGAGCAATGATGTCTTAAGAAAAGAAGAAAAGTAGGGATTCAGAATCCGAATGAGCGGATGAGAAGAAGGGCAGTTTGTGACTCACGAGCCAAATCTGAAAATCCGACACTCACCTGTACGCTGCGAAGGCGACTATTGATAAAAGGACAAGCACACCACATGACACGCTGCCCAGAATCTTCCACACTGCGGTGCCGTACATCAGCGAAGAGATAGGGAGAGACAAAGGTAAAGCCGGTTTAGGCATTAGGGTATAGACACGACAAGAAGAAAACCCAAGTCAGTTTGCTATAAGCTATACTCCAACAAAATGCTCACTGTAGGGCTGGTTAGATTCTTGTGCCACCGTGCGAACAAAGTTGCATGTGGCGAAGCGCCTGTTTTTGTTAATTTATATATTGAGCTGCCCTTGAGAACTTACGGATGCACTTCTCTCCACTAAAGCCGCACGGAGGTTCGTCCCTTGGTGGCGCTCCCTTGATCCATTCGATCGTATCAAAGAGCTTCAGGACCTTTCAAACAAAAATTACGGAAGTAAGAAACACACTAATGTGAACGTAGGACGAACCTTCAAAACCTTTATTAATACAAAGGCAGTTGTCAGTCGTCCTTTTACGCATTATTAGGACGAAAGCCATGTATGTCTCGTCAAACCCGAAACACGAGTGACAAAAAAAAGTCATCAAACGATGACGTCCCCATATGACGTCATCATGACGTCATGCACCGCCAAAAATTTAGTCATTATTATGACGTCATCACACGACCTCGTGACTTGGTCAAAGCTGAGCCAATCACGAAAGCAACATGAAACTGGCTGAGGTGCATCCGATCCTGGAAGCAGTGGAGAACTACGTTTGATGCAGAAAGCTTTCTGGGGGAAGGGGGGTGGCGAATCGGCTAGGAAGAAGATGTCCCTCACCTTCCAGTCGCTCTATGTGAATGCATGAGAGGCCCTTTCTGTATTTACGTAAGTTGACTTAGTGTTCTTACGGGCAAAGTTGATCCGTTGCCCGAGAGTTCAAATACTCCCACGGGAAAGAGACCGTAGAGGTTCCCGCTGGGGCCGCCGTACTTCTTGCGCGCAACGAGAGTGTAGTTGCCCTCAGCGTCGCCATTGTCGTCCATGCGAACCATGTAGCCCATCGCACCTGCAGTCCAATCGAGCGATCAACCATAAAGTGTCTAGCGCTAGACTAACACATGAAAGAAGTCACAGGTGTCAACAGTACGTCGTAAAAGTACTTTACTTACATTACGAATTATCTTCACATTTTGAAACTGCAATTAAAGTACATTACCAATGGCAGCTGTTCGAAAGTGTTACTTTAAAATTACGTTAAGAAAGATCAGCATCCATGCGCGAACTCATGTATACACTTCAATTAAATCTGAGAGATCTTAGTAGCATCTCTCCCACTTCGCGCTTGGCCCTCAGATTAACTTGTTTGGTTATTTTTTTCTTTTCTTGTTCAATTTTTTATTCCACGAGGGAATCGCACATGTAATATTCTATTGAAACATAATTAAAAATAATAGCTAACTTTCTGGGTATTAACCACCCCAAGCAAATTACCGCAATGCTAAGTTACTTACCCACAAACGTATTTCTATATATGTACGAATTCTTTGCGTCCGGTTGTATATCACGCCTTCGTAATGGATTACCAACTCGTACTCTTCAGGGAGAGGCATCAAGCTAAAAGTTAGTCGTAGAACAACAAGTCTCGCGTGAGCCTTATCCATGCGACAACGTGACTTCCGACGCAGTGAATCCGGAACAGTAGTATACACACGTCACTCACTCTGGTACGACCGTCCGCGCATGTGCTCGAGCAAGTGCTTGCCGTTCCGGAAGTCGCCTCCGTGCTCGACGCATGCATTGACGGCCTTCGCGTACACCATGACGGCGTCGTACAGGTAGGCGGCCTCCGAAGGAATCTGCGTCCACACATAAGCGTCTTTTTCACAGAAGGCTCCCTCGGCGCCGCCATAATATCTTCTAGGCAGTAGTAAAAAAAAAAAAAAACCCGTCTCTCTCCTCCCCACCCACAAGGTGTAAATAGATCGTTCATCTAGTCATAGATAAATATTTTATTTATCTCTAGATAGGGGCGAGTAACCGACTAAGAAAAAAATTACACCGTCTCCAGCTAAAGGGAACCATGTGTAGATGCGAAGCAGCGGGCGCTGACGCTTAATTACACTGGCGGCGACGTTGACGGTGACACTCATCGCGGCATTGCTTAGGAGAGAAACCTAGAAAGGCGCAAAGCTCGCAGTGAGGGGCTGGTGTTTCTTACTGGAACATACCAATCGCTTCTAACGGGCAGTGAGAGACAAAAAAACTTCGATTGTACACTGAGACCTGCAGTCCGAACGCGCCCGCTGCGAATTTTTATCGTTCAACAACGCACCGGAGAAATCTCCCATTGGCAGTACCTTGAAGGTAAAAATCCAGTGCCTATATATACGGGGTGGCAGTGAATGGTTGTGCAGCGCGAGCAGTCGGTTTTTTCCATCAAGAAGCTTGCTATAGCAGACGCTGCCTGCGTCGGCGTTGTGAGAGAGGAGTAGCATTGGAGAGGAGAGAGAAGGGGGAGGGGATGCGCATGCGCAACGGTATTGTAAACGCCGCGGGGAGGACTGCCTAGTGAAAGAGAGGGGGCGCAAGCGTACGTTAGCAGACGTTCACTGCGTCGGCGTTGCGAGGCGAGAGGGGGGGAAGAGTAGGAGAGAGAGGGAGAGTGGTCGTGCATGCGTAGTAAGGGTGGTCACGCCGCACACCTGATATAGCTCGACCCTAAGCTGCTTCACATCTGAAAAAAAAAAAGATGGATTTCAACTTCGAGTCATGTTGGCCGAGCGTGTAACGGACCATGTGAGTTTTCATACGGTCACAGACTTGTAAGTTCAGATGTCAACTTTATCTATTCGTTTAGACGGATTTCCTTCAGTATGCCATTTCGATAAGTTCGTACAATTTTCGTATAAATTTACGGAGTATACGCAGAGTCCGCATCAAGGTCACCAAGTTCCCGTAGCAATCCTTGGCCAAAATATACAATAATTGCCAACTCGTACCCTAATGTACATTCCCTACGAACGTTTTAACAAAACGTTCTATGCGCGTTCTATGTGGAACGCGCATAGAACGTTCCCACAATGATGCATCGCAACACGGCACTCTTAACTTATCCACGTAAACTGCGAAAGTGGCAGTATTGGCGTATTAAGAACAATCGTGGTATATTAACTGGGTGATTAAGCGAAATCTGGGTGCAAGAAGATGAAACGAAACGGCACAAGCTTTTGATGTCGGTATCTCCTTTAACATTCGAGGTGTTGTTTTTTTAGCCACTTTAGGTTCAGCTTTCACTTTGGCAAGGAGGGACGAAGAACATTTTTACGTGATAGCATTAGAGAGCTCATTTCGCAGAAATTCTGGCGTCGGCATCGGTGTCATTGATTGCGAGGTAAAAATTAATCTTTGCGTGATAAAAAAATTGAGCACGTTTAGGTAAACAAAAAATTGAGAAAATGGTAATAAAACGAATTAAAAAAATTCTAGGTCTGAGTGAGGATCGAATCCGGGTCGCTTGCGGGGCAAGTGGGCGTTCTGCCACACAGCCTGCTTGTGAATACAGTGAAAATACCTCCCTCTGCTTGGAAGTGCAGTAAAAGTAACACTCATGCTTTACAAACACGCGTCCTGTACACATGCTTCACGATACAACATGAAATATTGCCGTAATAATGTGTGGTACAAGCGTAAACTGCTATTGGACGTCATAACATAAGATTGTCATAATGACTTCGTCGTTTAAAGCCAGTCACCCTCTACAAAAGGCACGCACGCTAATGCACCATTAAGGCCACGTAGATTAAGGTCACGTAGATTTCATACACTAAGTGTTTCAAGTACGCATTAGGAACAGAATATCGCTAGTGCGTTCAACCCTTAAAGGTGAAGCTTAAGGTTCCTCCAGTTTTTTTTTTTTTTTTCAGCTAATGGTAGTATGTAACGTAAATCACACGTACAGGTCACAGGAACAACCTTTCCAATCGAGAATGACCAGGTGCTCCTTTCTGGACTCTTTGACGATGGTACGAAGCTAAACATGGCTGCCTCGGCAGTGCACGTTTGTGAGGTCGCGCATATTTGCATTAGCTCAGAGGGGACCGCAAGTGTGACCAAGAAGACCTCATTAGAAAAGTACATAGGGACCAACCTTCTTCATTCCTCCAATGGGGTCGGCGGCGTTGACGATGTTGAACGGCGGCCTCTGCATGTACTCGTTGACTGCCACCGAAAATGCCTCGAAACCCGAAGCCGGGCTGCCCACAATGCCGAGGTAGGAGCGAAATGCCCTCACCACCGAGGGGTCCGGTTCCTCGCGAAACAGACCTGTCGCGGAGTGGGATAGAGATAGATGTCTATGGTCCCATTAAGAAACTGACACTTTTGTGTAATAATTAATACGGTATGTGTTTGATCATCATGCACCATAGGCATGCACACGGGGGGGGGGGTGATTGAAAGGAGGGGGGTGAGAAGCGTGACCCATATATTAACATAATAGAGAGTGGGGCGCTGGAATAAGGGGGGGGGGGGTTGCTAAGCACCATACAGTGACCTAATCAGGGAGGGAGGCGCTGCGATCAACCTTTGCTCTCCTTTCTGAAGAAAAACTGTGCGCACGTACGCCTACAATCATCACCATTGTGAAAACATGACAACCATTATAATTCCCCGCCACGGTGGTCTAGTGGCTAAGGTACTCGGCTGCTGACCCGCAGGTCGCGGGTTCGTATCCCGGCTGTGGCGGCTGCATTTCCGATGGAGGCGGAAATGTTGTAGGCCCGTGTACTCAGATTTGGGTGCACGTTAAAGAACCCCAGGTGGTCAAAATTTCCGGAGCCCTCCACTACGGCGTCTCTCATATTCATATGGTGGTTTTGGGACGTTAAACCCCACAAATCAATCAATCAACCATTATAATTATGATCAATCTTCTCAACACTCACAGACGTCGCCACTCTTACCTAATGGTATGGCAAACACTTCCAGTAATCTTCAATATATTCGGTCATAGAGCAAGAGTAAAATTCACTGTGGCAGATAAAGAATGCACACTCGTGGTTCTATTGAAATATTTTAAGCATGTATTCAATATTTCAAAAAAATTGAATGAAAGAGTGAAAATGGTGGCAGTAGGGGTGTGAGGCGCTTGCTCAAAAAGGTGGGGGGGGGGGGGGGCTTTGTTCGGGTGGAGCACTTGCTTTTACGGGGCTGCTACTTATACGAAGACGATGGCGCAGGGTATACGCTAAGACACACACGCTGTAAACATGCAAGATACTTCTAGGTGTAAACTGACCAGTAAGATAACGGGTGGGGCTCTCAACGTCGTACTGCTGGACGTCAACGCCGACCACGAAGTACTCCCCGCCTTGCAGCAGTCCGCGGGCTTCCAGGCTCGCCATGAGGCCGATGTGCTCGAAGTACTGGCCCAGCACAATGAACACTGCGCATTCGCACACACTTATGCTGCGCAGCTGCAGAAATACTGGGCGAAACACAGCTATACAGCTCTCTTTACTGGTTCCGCAACGTGTCCCTACTTTGCACGTGCTTTTTTTAAGGAACACGCAGTGAGCTCGAACACGACACGACGTGAGTAATATAGTGTCGGCAACGTCAAAACGCCCCAGTATTTCACAAATGCCTGGGTGAAGCTCCCTTTAGGAATTGTTGAATCGCCATGATAACGGTGGTTTGTAGACAGATTTGCTTAATATCTGATGGTGAGTAGGTGGACGAACCTGATTCTCCGTGCACCTGTCACCTTATGGTAACAACGTTACGTTTGGGTACTGGATGTCGTAAGAGTACTGTACTACTACTACTACTACTACTACTACTACTACTACTACTACTACTACTACTACTACCAATAATAATAATAACAACAATAATAATAATTGTATGCGCTTTTACAAGCTGAAAACCACTATTGGTTATGAGGCACGGCGTAGCGGCGGGCTCCAGAGATTTCTATCTCAACCTAAGTGTTACGGTCTTCCGGAATTTTGCCTCCATCCAAAGCAACCGTCATTGCTGCTGTGAAAACTGTGACTGACAGGTGAGCAGCCGCGCACCACAACCATCGAGCACTACCGCTGGATGCTGGAAGCCCCGAGTTAAAATCAAGCTGCGCCTGACCTTATTTGAGATATCCTTGCATATGTGCATATACTTGTAGATAAACGTAACATGACGATGGTGCTACTGGCAACTACTGCGACAATCCACCCAGAATGTTACTACAAGAGCTATCGCAGTAAATTGCCATCCTACGCAATGCAAAAAAAAATTATGGACCGTTTCCCCGAAGGGAACCATGACGGGATGTAAAGCAGCAGTGGTGCACACGCCGTTGACCTGGCTGAAACGGGCGTCGACGCGGGTGCTGCCAGAGCGGTTCGAAGCAAAACTTGGTGTAGCCTTTACTCAAGCAAACGTTTCTTTGAAACGCAAAGACACGGTAGGCGTGTTGGGTTTCTTGTAAGTTTCATCGCAGATAAACTAGCCGAAAGAGTATTTGTACTCGACGCGCGGTCGAGTGTCGCGAGTGGTGGAGACGGTGAAGCGAGTGAGAAGTGTGTTGTGAGTGGCTGGATGAGCAACACTACCTAGGTGTGTTGGAAGGAAGTGGCAGCTGCTGCGGGTGAAGGAGAGAGTGACGTCAACGCGCAGCTGTGAATTGACCTACTTGACATTAGGCACTGCGCCGCGCTCCCTACGGGGCTGCAGAAATTAGGTGCCTTTCTCCTCTTCTAACCACTACCACCACCACCACCACCACCACCACCACCTACTTGACATCGTTCCAACAACTGTGGCGGGAGGAACGCGGTGCTGCGCGTTGACACGGAGACACGGATGGACAGCGTCACACAGGCTAGTCAAACAGCTGCTCCGCATCTTAAATATCACCGCTCAAGCATTCCGTACAGATGGCTAACCAACGAAACTAAAACGCGTGGTCCCGATGTTTATCACGAGCTGGTATCTGTCGGAATGTCTTTCGTTGTAGCTTCCCATTTCACTACGACTACATTTAAGAGACGTATGCTTCAAACTTTTTGTTTCTTGTACGTTAGCCTGAAATTTATTAAGAACTTTATGGGTATCTATTTAAGCTGTGGTAGTTGTATTACTATATTACTCATATTACTATTATAGGCTGAGAATGCCTGAGGGGATACTAGTGCAAGCGCACAGACCCTTCGAGGTATCATCTGCTACCGCTGCTTCTCCATCATAGTTTGTGTGCACTCATGCATCGCCAAATGTTCTTTCCTCCTAACCATGGCGCTGTAACACAGCATTATTTAAGGAATACCAGCCGCGCATTGAACGATGACTGTTGGCCCACCTCGTGCCTTTGGCGCCACATCCTTGAGCATCGTCTCGAACGGGCTCGGGCCGTAGCCGTAGTGGTACGTCTCGTTCCACGAGCTCACGTGGCGCAGCCGGACTCCGTGCGATGTCAGCGTCGACATGATGCTCTTGGCCACGTGACCCAACCGCGAGGCGTAGAACAGCGCCACCTGTCGCCAATCGAAGTGGGCGAGCAGAGCCACCACGGACTTTGAGATGTGCGTCTCGGGGGGACGCGTGCGGGCGAAAGTCGGGAACCGCTGCTTGTCCGAAGTATCACGGACGAGGCAGAACTGCAGCATGCAAATCTTGACATGTATGCAGTATATGTCAAGTAAAGTGAAGCCGAATCATTAGAACATGAATTTACTGGCAAGCACTTAGTAACAATTGACATATGTTATTCTCGTCAAGCTTTGTTATAATACGTTTCGCGCAACTCATTCACCACGGTGCCGCTAATATCTGTGAGAATAGGGATCTCACGGCTCCTCTTTATACCAAAGGCATAGCGAAAATAAGCAAAATCACGGGGTATATATATATGTCCCTGTGGCAGTTAACTGCACTATCATTTGTGGACAAAGTAGAACATTCCACTAGAGAGTTCCCGCAAACTCTTTTACGCTTGCTAATTGGCTGGCAACTGGAATGGTAAACTTCAGTGACAAGACTGGTAGCGCTACCTGGTGGAGAAGAGATAAACCAGGCAAACACAGAAACACTATTGTAGTAACTATGCTACAGGTGTAAATAAGGGCAGAATTGAAAATGTACTACTTTTTATATGTTTTTCGAGAAGAGAAGTTTAAAACGTGCTCCTATATGACACTATAGTCAGATAAGGCGCTACGAGATGCTCTTGCTCTCGATCCTCAACGGAACACAATGTCAGCTAAATCTCTCCATCAATCAAGTAATTGTAAATTACATAGAGAACACGCACGTATGACACCATGGGCAGATTGAGAGCAGCGGCCAGGAACGCCTCGTGGACGCATGTCTCCTGTGGCCCAATGAAAGCCGAGACGTTCTGGCGCCAGAGGCGCGCCGTCTGTAGTACGCTGAGCCGCTCACGGCCGAAGGTCTCGGCTATAAGCACGTCCAGTCGGAGACCACCCATGAGAGGATACTGTATGTTCACCTGCAATAGCAACGTATGTGCGTGTGTGTTTTCGTTTTGTTTAGTTTTTTTTAAATTGAACCTACTGCAGGCTCAAACCGCTTTAGAAGGAGTGGTTAGACAGGTTAAAAAAAGGAAACCAACAACGCCATTATTGAGCAGAAATGGTTGATTTAAACATTAGTAACAAACGGTTATACGGTATTAAATTTCACACCACTATTGTCTGTCACTTCATTAAAACATTGTTAATGAAAGTAAAGAATATTTGCTTGTATTGATGGTGCTTGAAGGCTGGTGAATTTTGTTACTCTGCTCAGTCTTTGATTTCGGCCAGGGCACCTCATTCTAATGATCATTTTTCCCCTCTCTGTATTCTATGGCGAAAATTTTCGGATGGGGGAGGGGTGGGGGCACGGGCCCGGTGTGCCACCCCCTGGCTACGCCCTGCGTAATCACAGCTGCGGGAGCGATCAAACATAATAATCTTAACTATTCCATGTGACGTTACCTTGTCGACTGCTAGCGTCAGCGCACCCGAGATGGCCAGTCCTGGACGCCTGTAGCTCCTGTCACCGGGTAGTCGCTGTGATCCCGTCAGGTAACCGAGGACGATAGTTTCGTTAGTTTTAGTGTACGCCCATTTCCGAGAGAGTACGACCAGCAGAATGGCAATGGCTGTCTGAAGCATCCTCGGCCAGTCTTCAACTTGACAAGAACAACCGACGTCGACGAATTCGCTACCATTACTCTTAGCTTTGCATCGTCAATGTGCGCTTCATTGAAGTCTGCAAGAAGCGTCATAATGAAAGTGCAACTGTCATTTACCGCAACTGCTACATGGCGGTATAGGAGTAGGGGGATCTGAGAACATTCTTCAGGAACCTGATCACCAGTTAAGTCATACTATAACGATGAATGACACGCAGTACGAAACTAGAAAGGACACTAAGACAAGAACTGTAAGATGCCACGTTGTATTAGGTCAAACGTTGAATACATTGAAGGTTGACGCCACTGCAAAACCTTAAATATAAAAAAACGAAAAAACGCTACGTCTAAAATTGTATCATTTCATTTCGTTTCATTTCATTTTATTACCTTAAAGGTCCCAAGGGGACATTACATAAGGGGTGGGGTTACAAAAAACGTACAAAAAAGCCATGAATTAGCTTGAAAAAATGGCTTGTGACGCTATGCATAAATGTTGATGGACAGGTGATTGCTGCAATATGGTCGGGGAGGTCATTCCAGTCTTTTGCTGCACGAAGAAAAAATGAGGCAGCAAAAGTAACAGTGCGGGAACGTTGACGGGCAACTTGAAAGACATGGCCAATGCGATATGACCTGCGAAATGGGGGGGGGGGGGGAATGTAAGGTTCGATTGCAAGTGGACTGTGAAAAAGTTTATTAAACAAGCAAAGGGTGGCAATGCGGCGGCGGGAAGATAGAGGGGACAGGCCAATTTCTTCTTTTAAAGATGACACTTACTGGTCGCTACCAGATCACCGGAACAAGCGCCTGCGGGAAATGGACCCCGGTATGACTTTTCGTCTTCCAGATAAAATCAGCCGAAGACATGCTAATATACTGCACCGAATTCGCCTGGTCGTCGCCTTCACTCGCCACTACACCCACCTAATTGGCCGTGCGGACAGCCCAAATTGTGAACGCTGCCAAGTGCGCGAAACGATAGCTCACATATTTTGTGACTGTGCATTATACGTGGCGCAAAGAAAAATGCTAACTGCAACGTTTGCAAGCATTGGACGAACACCATTAAGTGAAAGCCACATATTGTCAGCAATGAACGACCAAACAGTGTCAAAAACTATTACAAAGGCTGTTCTAGACTTTATAAAAAGCACTGGACTAGAAACTAGACTGTAGGGTACTATGCTAAGTGGCTACTGTACATACGCACCAGAGCCTTCCCCACCTTCTTCCGGTCACGCAACCCGTCCGACCCGTCCTCCAGAGAGAGCGGCCTCTCCGGTGTCTGATGGGGTGGTTTGTTTACCTCCCACCTCCTCGCCACAACAACAGCACTCTCCTCCACTCTCCCGCTCAAAGGAGAGCACGGGCGCGTCGTCTGCTACGGCCGCAGCTCCTCTGAACTCTGCCGCTAGCACCGCGCCACACCCTCCTTCTGCTTTCGGCCCCATGCGCCCACTGACGGTGGACGCCTCTACCGAAGCAGATTATGAAGAGGCCCGACGCAAGAATCAGCAGAAAAAACGGATTTCCGTGCCAGGCATCAACAGCTACAAATGCCCCTTCCAGTAGGCAGCCAGCCAGTGCAGCTCCCCCAAGCAAGGGAAAGGGCCCCGCCAGAAACCAGGTCGCCGCCAGCACCAACTCGATATTATCGAACACCTGGTCGCGAATGAGCCCCGCCGCACCTCTGCCACCATCCTCTACCGCCCCAAGGGCAGGAAGAACAACTTCCTCTCCCTCAGCCGCGACGCAATTGCAGCACAGCACTCGAAGGTGCCCGGCACGAAAGCGTGTGCGCATTAACTTCAGCGGCAACGTTGTTGCGGTTGACACCACACCGGAGCTGACACCTCCGCTCTCCTGGCAGTGGAAAGCATCGGGAATGTGGCTGTCAACGCCAAGACCGCCAACAAAGGAACCTGTACCGGCGTACTTCACGGCGTTGACGCGGCTTTTGACGAGGAGGTCCTCAAAAACAACATAGAGAGCTCTGCTCCCATCCTCTCTTGTGCCCGTACCGGACGCAATGTCCTTCTCCGATTTGTGGGTAACGCACCGCCACCTGAGGTGGCGTTATTTAAGCAGACCCGCCCTGTACGTTGTCGTCGTCGCCGCCCTCTCCAGTGCGCTGGCTGTGGCGCTTTCGGACACACTCATGCGACGTGCACCAGCTCCCCACGCTGTTCGCGCTGTGGCGGCGACCACGCCCGCGCCGACTGCGTTGCACCCGGCCCCAAGTGCCTACACTGCGGCGGCCCACATCCCGCCACCGAGCCCCGATGCCCTCGCTGGCAACACGAGAGGAAGGTGCTAGAAATCATGGCCTCTGCGGACCCACCCCTCTCTCGTCGTGAGGCCGAGAGGAACCTTAAGAGCGAGGGAAAAGCCGTGCCTGCTCGAGCACCGTGCACTGGTATTTCCTCGGTAGTGCAACCGGGCCGGACGTACAGCGCGGTTGTTTCGCCCCCGGCCGCCGAACCCTCGGGCCCCGACTGCGAGGTGCAAAAGGACATGGTGATTAGTGCCCTGGCCGCTGCCGTGCAGGCCCTCATCGGGACAATACCGCAATCCGGCCCTGTGTTCGAGCTGTGCAACGCGGCCCTGGCCGCCCACGCTGCCCTCAATCAACATGGCTAGCGGCAAGGTGTTTCGGCCGCGGATTCTTCAATGGAACGTTCGTTCCCTCCGCTGCCGTCACGCCGAGCTGTCTACCCAACTCCTCCGACGCGAGTACGACGTCTTGCTGCTGCAGGAAACCTACGCTCGCGTCGGAACACTCAACCTACCTGGTTTTGTCGGCTATCACAGCACCACGCAGTGCGAACTTGAAGAGTGTAGCGCAGTCCGGTGCAGCACTCCCTCGCATCCTCCCGGCACGTCGCGGGCTTCGGTTTATGTGCGCGCCGACCTCCCTCACGCTGCAGTGGACATCGAGGACATTCTCTGTGACACCCTCGAGGCCGTCGCCCTGACTGTGCGCATCGGGACCACGGACACCAGTGTCGCTAGCGTGTACGTGCGCACATCGAACTACTCGGCACGCTGGGACACCCAATTCGTGTGCCGCCTCGCAGACCGCCTAAATCACGACGCGGTCATCGGTGGCGACTTTAACTCTCACCACACCTCCTGGGGCAGTGGCGTGACGAACCACGTGGGCGCGACCTTCTCGATGCCGTGCAAAAGGCCGGACTGCTCGTTATAAACACGGGTAGCTGTACTCTCGCGCGCCGTGGTGTGTCCGACAGTGCCATCGACCTGACTCTCGTGGGTGGTACGTGTAAATATGAGTGGCAACGTGCACCGGACTCTCAGGGCTCCGACCACTACCCCATCGTGGTCACACCCCCCTCAGCTTACATCAGGTACACTCGGACCTACAGTGTTGTGAAGTGGACTCGCTTCAGAGAACTGTGTGCTAGAGTGCCAGTCTCTGCAGACTTCTTCACCGCGCTGGCCGAGTGTCACGACGCAGCTACCACCCACTGCACCGTGCCTGCGGGCACCCCCGCACCAGACATCAGCCTCCTCAACCTTCGCGCCGCGCGTCGCAGGGCGCAGATTGTGGCGGTGCGCTCGCAGAAGGCGGAACATTGGCGTGCCTATAACTGTATTGACGCGGTGTGCCGCAGGCACGCCAGACGCCGTCGCAACCAGAGCTGGGGGAGCCTCTGCTCGTCACTAGATGACCCTCAGAACCACGCCCAAGCCTGGCGCATTTTCGCTGCCGTTCTTCGCACCAGAGAGCCTCGCTGCCCGGTTCTCTGTGTTGCTGTTGCAATGAAGATCGCCACGCAGGAATTGGCTGAGCTGCTGGCAGACAAGTTTGCCCCTCCTGCTTGCCCACAGCCTCCACAGGGACTACCACCTGTGCCTGCACTCAACAGGCCTGAGCTCTTCGCTCCCGAGCGGTACTTTCCCACCGAGGGCATTCTGCTAGAGATCCGCGCATTGTGCACGGAGGAGTTTACTCTCAGCGAGCTGACCGCAGTGCTCAACAACCGCACGAAGCGGTCTGCCCCGGGAGTGGACGGCCTCACCTACCAGGTGCTGTGCAACATTGACCCCTCCACGCGGCCCCGGTTGCTGGAGGCCTACAACGAAGTGTGGCGCACAAGTCAGGTGCCTCCAGGCTGGAAAGAGGCGCTCGTGGTGCCCATCCTGAAGCCACGGAAGCCGGCCACGGAGCTTTCATCCTACCGGCCAGTGTCACTTACCTCGGCCGCAGGGAAAGTCATGGAAGCCATGGCATTGCGACGCCTTCGCTGGATTGCCACCGCAACCAACGCATTCCCTCCCGAACAGAGCGGATTTCGCCCAAGGCGCTGTACGTTCGACTCACTGGCCGACGTGATCGCCACCCTCGAGGAGGCCAAGTACCGCGGCGATTACGGCATCCTCGTGCTGCTCGACGTGAGAAGTGCGTTTGACTGTTTGCCCCACGCATCGATTTTGGACGCACTTCGTGACCTCGGTGTGTGCGGGCGGATGTTTGACTACCTGGAGAGCTTCTTGGGCGACCGCACTCTTCGCGTTCGTGTTGGCTCCACAATCAGCGGTCCCCACTCCGTCACCGCAGGCGTACCCCAGGGCAGCATACTGAGCCCTTTTCTGTTCAATCTGGCTCTTGCCAAGCTGCCCGACTACATCCCGTGCAACACGGCGTGTGAAGTGCATGTGGCGATTTACGCCGATGACATTGCGCTGTTTGCCTGCGGCCCCGGTCGCCACCGGGCAGCCCTTCTCGAGTCCCTCCAGGTTGCCATCGACGCGGTTGACGCATTCCTGAACGGGGTTGGACTGGCGCTCGCCGCCTCCAAGACGGAGGCACTGCTCGTCCACCCGCGAGCGTCGACACGCCGCTCCACGCCTCGGCTCTCACTCCGGGGCCTCCCCATCGAGTGGAGCACGAAGGTGCGCTACTTGGGGGTGACCATAGACCACCGGCTCAGCTGGCGACCGGCCGTCAACGAT